TTACTGTTTTACTGTCTTGTCTCCTGGCTGAAAAACACATAGGAGAACAGCAGAAAATTACAGAACCTTAAAGGTAGAAAAAAGCCAGATACTCACACAGTGAAGGAATCAGGGGGAGCTGAGACTCTCCTCAGGTCAGCAGACTGCACTTTATGGATACTATAGGCAGTGGGAAATGAGTGGCCAAGAGAAAGGCAGCACACAGTGTGGACAGACAAGGAAAAAAGCAGGGGAGAGGGGGGGAGAAAAAGAGAGAGAGAGATAGAGGGAGAGAGAGAGAGAAAAAAAGGTTGGGAAGAAAGTGGAAGAGAAGAAAGAGAGACATACAACATTTAAACAGAAACAAAAGGAATGTGTCACATGAAAGTTGAATGAAAATACATGCAGAGCTCCAAGGTCACACTAGGAAGCCAAGAGCAACAGAAGACATGCAAATGGAGAACAATATTTCTACATGACACTTCAAAGCTTTCTGAAAACAAGAGCGAGGAGGACAAATGACAAGCTAGGTAAACAGCTATACAAAGACTGGGAGCCCCAGGATATGTGTTCCACAGGCACTGAAAAATTCAAGGCAGCAGACTTTGGAAGCACGTCCAGAAATGCAAACAAACATCAAAGCCAAGATCTGAATAAATGCAGTTGTCTCCAAACAAAGTCAAAATCTGAATGGATAGAATTGTCTGCAAAGTTTGGTCAACTTCAGTTAATTTTAAGAAAGAAAAATACCCTTACTAGAGATTTTGTATCCACAATGGAAAACTGCTGTCTCCATCCCTCCATAATGTACTTTAGGGAAACATGCATTTTTTATAGTCTCCCAAGACCGACTCTTAGTATTTTTATTTAAATAATCCCTTTGTTTCCTTTAAGTGAATGAAACACTGTTTTATAGATAAACTCTTCCCTCTTCTCTTTTTTATATCACGAAGACTGTTTCTTCCACTCTTCCTGAACTCAAACTAAAAGCCATCTTTTGGGGGTTTGTACAGTGATCATTAACTAAAACCCACTGACTGGAATATTGAATTGTAGTTTCTAATCAGAAGATTATTCCCGGAAAATCACACCACAGTTTCTCTTTTAATTCCAGAAATATTTTGCTTTTATACCACAACACTACATTCTTGGCTTGATCAAGCTCTCATGTTCTCTCTTTCGCATATTAACCATGATCAATAAAGGAGATTCAGGAATTGGAATTTAGCTGCCAAATCTTTAAAGGGAAGGAGATTAGGAATATAATTTACAAAGTGAAGGGCAAGGGGGAGGGGAATGGGAGGGGAGGAAGGGAAGGAAAAGGGAAAGGGGAAGGGTCTGCTAATGTCACTGCAGAAAGATTTGTTTTCACTGGTACATTTTGCAGCCAACGGGGAAAAACAACCAAATAAATCTGCCTTTTTTCCACAGTCCAACTATCTGCCTTGTTTCAATCCACAACTAAATGTCAACAGTATCACCTCATTGTTAATATTCCTTGGACTTTGAAAATTGCTTCTCAATTGAAACACTTTACTGGTTTGTTACTTATCTCTATTGTAGACTTAATGCATTGTAGGATGAGAAAGAGATTATGCCAGCCTTTTAACAGACTCCATTAGAAACAAACTAGAAGAAGCATTCTATGAAGAAAAATTAGTTAACTAAATACATTTGCCAATGGTTTCCTCAGTTCAGACAAAATTTGGCACAGCATGTTGACTTGTTCCCTGATAGTTACTACAGGAAATGGATGCTCCTTCAGTTCAAGTAACTCCACAGTAGAAGATCTCTTCCTTAATTTGATTGCATGGTCAATGTTTTATTTAATTATTTTAAAAAACTAAGAACTTTTACCTTTTCTAAAATTCTGTTAAACTTTACCCTACACCCTGAGAAAGTCAAATTAAGAGATAAAAAACCCTCAGCAGGAAGAAATTTCAACCTCGAATTTTTGTGTAGAAACATAAGGCAACGTCTGTGCAATTATAAGGTATAAAAGCACAATAGTGGGAAAACAGAGGAAAAAAAAAAAGCAGGTCAAACATACAAGCTTTAACTCCTTTTTTCCCCATATACAAGTGTCCTCTCTAGAATTATCTACATGTTTTGAAAGAGAACGACTAGAGTCAGGAAGATGGGCAAGTCTGACAGTCAGAAAAGAATCATTTTTCTAAAGCCCTCATGCTCACAGTGACAGAAGTTTGGAGTTTCTGTTGCCTCTCATCTGCACTAAATATGGGTTCTTCAATTTAAAATACTGTTATTCCCCAGAAATTAAAAGGCATCCACAAAACAAACAACAAGCTCTCTACCCTTTCCAAATCCCTTCTCTTCATAACTCCCAGAACAAGTAAGAATAGGATAAGAAAACAGAATCACGGTGTAAAATTCCTAAAAAATAAAATAGTTTTCCACTTATTACACTGGACTAGATAAAATTTTAAAGAACAATCCCACTGTTCTCCTATCAACACATCAAGGCTGGCAGTAACAGCAGCTCTGAGTTACTGTGACAGCAGATAATTTTAAAAGCACTTTTCTTGCAAGTTGCTCAGGAACAGTTCTCCAACAATTGCAGAGATAGCACCAGACCTACTCACCAACCTCAAACATCTAACATTCAGGTGACAATCTTAAGAAGAAATGTATGTATATATATATATATATATATACACATACACATATATATACATATATATACATGCATATATATATGTATGTATATATATATACACATATATATGTGTGTGTGTGTGTGTATACATATATATAAAGTATAATAATTTCTGGAAGTCTTCAATGGACTGAGAGTTAAGAAGTATAAATACACATTTAATCTAAAGCTTTCTCTTGTGAAATACTACAAATCTGCATCACAGTGAATTAAGTTCATAAAATATTAAATGCCTCCTGGAGTTTAACCTTTAACATTCCATTTACTTTTTGTCACAATAGAATATTCAATTCCTCTCTCATTCTCCTTTGACACTTGTTAGAAATGTACATTCACACATATATAGATATATACACATTATTTCCAACACGTGAAGCTGAAATTATAGTAGTTACCAGATCATCTGTATTTTTCCAAAACACGGGTGTGCACACATATCTTGATCAAATAAGAAGACTCAGATAGCATCAAAACACATTGCAGCATGTTCAAATGAGGTTAAACCAGAAAGAATATCATCTTCACTACTGACATCATTATGACTCTGCATTTCTCTACTACTGTTCAAATTTGGATATCAAAAACCAAGCGTAGCCATGCTGCTTATAAGATCAAATTAGCAGATCAAAGTATCAGGAATTTTGTTTAAAAAAGCAAAATATAAACATTTGTATTAGCTCCCATCAGCATAGGAAGAGATACCTCAGGATTGTTCTCTACTGAATTCCAGATTTCAGAAATGAAGGAGCTGAGGCAGCTGGATGAAATCAGGCATCACTGCACACAGGCAATAGTCTGCTATTCTTCACTACTCAAGAGCAATGGGTATGCCTTATGCATTTTCCTGACAAACAGCAATTGTACATTACAGATATGTGCCTCTACTGAAGCTTAAAGCATTAGTCTCTGAAAGAGAATACCATGTGCTAAACTGAATAGGAAGATGCTGGAAGTAACCAAGGAGGCTTTGATTACATGAACAGATTGACAAACAGAAGATGACATGACACTTCTAAGGGCTGAAGACAAAGTTTGAAGAGAAGCAATGTCTTTCACTGCATGACAAAGACTGAAAACACAGACACCCTTTAAAATACCTGAAGAGGTGTGTGCCTGAGACCTTGCTGACTTTATTATATTAGTCTAATTATATTAGTCTAATGCAAGACATTACCTCTCTTCAAAAAAACTGCTTCACTTATTTCCTGTCACCGTAACAGCTGTAACAGCAAAATACCCAAACTCAGCTCTCCAGAAAAGTGAAATCTTCACTGCATGCTTGGGTGCTTGAACAAACTACGATAACTTGATAACTTCAAGCTTTTAGGCAGTACCCATCTGTATAGCAGACAGATTGTTTTGCATCACTTGAATACTTGGAAACAGCAAAGGCACTTACGATGCCTCATCTTAGCAAAAATAAAGAGCTTGTATATGAGAATTACAGCTCTACAAAAATAAACTTAATTATTTTATTTCATAAGCATTTTCTTAGATTAAATTAAAATGTTGCTTGATACTTAAAAATAAGATTTAACTATGAAAAAGAAAGTTATTTCAGTCTTGTTTTCCTTGCATGTTCCCCATTTCCTGTTATTTTTGCTTTTCTTTGTTCACCCTTTCCACTGCTTGTGCTACCTCCATCTTATGCTATGCATTTTCCTTCCTTCTGACTATATTCCCCTATCTTTTCCCTAATCACTGTTTCCCTAATCCACCAATCCAAGCTTCAGTAGTGCAATCTCCTTCCATTGAGCATGGAAACCAGAGGAAGAGTTACAGTTTTAGCTAATTCCGACAGGACTTTCTAATTTGGGTTTCTGTACTGGAGAACGATTCCCTACCAAGTACAAATATCCCTTTCCATGCCGCCAGACCCCTCTCCTTTAGGAGTCCAAGGCAGCATGTTCCCACAGTTGAAACTGCGAGAGGTCCTGAGTAGTTCTTGGTTGTGGCAGTTTATTAGAGTGTTCGATGGAGACTAAAAATCAGGCTGATAAAGTTCAGAAAACAAATCATAAGAAATTTAAGGGCTAATACCATGTACGTGCAGAGCCAACATAAGCCAAGAGGCACAACACTGAGCCTTCACATACCTCTCTAAATAAATAACTAAAAGATACAAGCCTTCCTAAAAGCAAGGCAGCAGGGAATCCAGAAGGTAAAAGAACAAAAGAAAGCCAGGAAATTATTTACAGTACAGTAGGAAGAAAGTTCAGGATATGTGATTTCTTTTATTTTTTTTTTTTAATGCACTGCAAGTTCAATACATGCAAATTCCATGACTGAATATGCTGCCTCAGACAGGCCTCCTGGCATTAGGATATGCATGCATCCAACTCACTCATTCAACAAAGGCATGGATGTTCTCCTCTTGCTCTTCTGCACCATGTTGGCTTGGTTCCTTAAGGAGATCCGAATGAGTGAGGGAGCCAACCGACAAGGTTCACCATCCACTTGCATGGGGATAGACTTGTACGTTAAAAGCGTCACCTCACGGCACTGATGCAGCCTCTCTCCATGACCACCCACTTGGAGAGCAGCCTTGGGGGAAAAAGAAGTTAAAAGGGAAGGAGAAAGATACCTCAAAACAGACATTTCAGGCAATTTAAAAAATACAAAATGCCAACAATGAGTATCAATCAGCACACGTGTGTAAGGCATTCACATCAAGTGGAGACAGTGGATGTACTTTCATTCAAAAATTGAAAAGCAGGACTTAACATTTCACAAAGAAAACTGGTAGGCAACAAGCAGATGAAATAGGACAGTTACCTGATCATATGCGTCATGTCTCATCAATTTCTATATGTCAAGTATATTTTACACACAAACACAAAATATGTATACACTCACATGCTCTAATGTGTTTCTTCTTAAAGGTTTTGATACATTTTGTTGGTTTGTTTTACACCAACAATAATGCAACTTTTTTTCACCTTTCAAATATTAACCCTAATTTAGTAAATCTGAGAGACAGAAAGATGATTACCCTTTCCTGAACAGAATATAGTCCCTAATGTGAATTAGAGAAATCTAAAATCCCCAGTTATGAGAGTTTACATAGCAATTCAACATCAAGACCAGACAGGCTGAAAAGAGCAAGAAGAATCTTGTTAAAACCAATTAAATACCATGTTCAAGAATAGATTCCAAAGAAATATAACGAGGAGAGCATGGTCAGATTCTTCAAGTTTTAAGCAGACATGTTTGGACAGTAATGTATTTTTATTAATTAGCAATGTAGGAATGTGACTATTAGCTATAATATGAAAAAAAAAAAAATCCGAATGAACAGTTGAAATAAAGTGAAGACCTTACTCTTGCTCTTTGCATCTCATATTACTGGGGAAAAAATGATAATATGACTACTAATAATTATAAATTACTGCTCTTTCTCGGTCTCTGAGACCAAGTGCATCTGAGAGCTGTAAAGAGCAAGTCAAAATTGCATGTTCAAGGGTTACACATGTTCAAGGGTTACATCCACAGCATCACAATCAATGTATGTATACAGATATTCAGTTCTGAACTAAGCTTCCTCTAGGGAGAAACAGCAGCTCAAAGGGCCCTAATTCTTAAAAAAAATCAAATCTAACATCTTCAGGAGGTGAAGTGGCAAAAGTTCCTTCCACAAGATCTACAATGCTAATAGAATTTTTCCTACCTGTGGGTTAATACTCTACTTCATTAGATCAATCAAAAGAGAGGCCATAAAAGAATCTATACTCTGAACCACTTCTAAAGAAACAACCATTGATTCAGATGGCCTTTTACTGACTGTATTTCTCCAAGTATATCTTTAAGGAAAGAAACACCATTTTCAGGGGTATTAAATGAATGCAATAGATCACACAACAAATAAAGTACAAGGTTAGTGAAAACAGGCTTATTAATATTAGCTTTAACCTAGTCCACACAAAAGAGAGCAGAAATGACTTAAGAGTAGGAACTTCAGCATAGAATCATATAATCACCATGGTTGGAAAAGACCTCCAAGATCATCCACTCCAAACGTCCACCTATCACCAATATTTCTTACTAAACCATGTCCCTGAGTGCAACATTTGAATGTTTCCTGAACAGCTACAAGGACAGTGACTCTACCACTGCTCTGGGCAGCCCATTCCAGTGCCTCTCAGGGAAGAAGTATTTCCTAACATCCAATCTGAACCTCCCCTGGTGCAACTTGAGGGGTAATAAAAAAAATACTGACGTATTTTTTTAATCCCAAATGAAAAAGAAAAAAATAATGGTTTTAGAACAGAAGTACAGGTAGTCAAATAGAGCCATTTAAGTGGTTAAGAATAACTTTGCCCTGTTTCACTGCACAGACATTGCCTCCAAAGAATGTTAAGTCCCCATCCCTCAAAATAGGGTAGGCTACATGTCACTTCTACAGCCTGATGGCTGTTGCATCAGTTGCAACAGTTGCAATACATTTCCTTCAAGTTTTGTATCTCTCTGTTGTTCCAAGACAGCTGAAAATACACTCAGTAAATGACTGCATGCTACTTAGATAAGTACTCCTTCTCTAACTTTCAAAAGCAAAAAATTTTCAAAGAATTTTGAAATTAAAAAAAAAAAATTATTTCATTTGTCAAAACAGCTAATTTTTAAGAGAAAAAATACATGCTAGGGAAAATAATTTCATATAATCTTTGACATATGCTTCCAGTAGTGAATATTATTAAAAAAAAATTGAATTTTAATGTCACTAATTGAAATACACAAAAGCTAAAAAGAAATAGCATTAATTATTTGACCATAGAACATTCCCACAGTAATTACATGTCTTCATACTGTTTGATTGACTGTCATAATCTTGCTGTTTAATTTGAGAGCATTTTAAAGCATTGCTAGCTATGGGTGAATTTGTAGTACTTTGCAAAGATTATATTGTTGTTATTAAATGTCACTTCTTTATTTAAAAACTACAGTTTGTCCCTTCATTTAAAACCTAACAGCAGCAGAGCATATTTTGGCTTCAGCTGAATAGAGAGTTATGCTGTTCTTACATTAATGTGGACAAATATCACTGAGTCTGGTCACAACTTCGGGCAGGGTAACACTTGCAGTATACTCACCAGTGAGGCCATGGTAAACCCAATGACTTCAATGTAGCCATCATCATGGCGCTGAGGTTCAAAGTCTCTGTGATCTCCAGGGTTTCCCCAGGGCATTGTGCCAGCACAATACCTACAGAAAATTTGGAAAGCAAGCTTTGAGAAAGTAATTTTCCCTGATGGGTCCTGACTATTAGCCTGACTCTTGGCCTGTTCTGATCTCCTCCAATAGGAACCTAAACAAATGTTTCAGGATTCAGTTGAAGGACAATTAATAGTTACATTGGCAAGGACTGAAGAAAGGGGGAAACTGGTCCCTAATTTCTAAGCTGGTACATCACTCACAAATTTATTCATCATGGTTTTTGGCAGGTTCCTCTACAAGAAAGGAAATGGGAGAAATACCAAACAGGCAACAGAGCAGCAGCATTTTTTTCTCCCCCCTTGGTCTAATCTGCAGATCAGCTGTTGAGCTTCCCTGGCACCTGCAATTTGCCTGTGTGAAAGTTTCTTATCCCCTCTGCTAGGAAGGCAAAGGGCCACAGACGCAGCCTCAGATCTCCATTTCATCTCTCCCTGCTGACTCATAAGCCCTGGTGGTATAAGAATTGCAAAAGGTTACATAGCTTGAGAAGGCAGGGAGAAATGAACAGGAACAGATGCAGCTGTTATGTCTACCTTTCCTACCATTCAAGGGTGGATGTAAAAGCGATCTAAAGATTAACAGAAGAAGGGAGACACAAAATAGAAGCTTGCAGTGAAGGCAATGCAGGACTCCCATTGTTTGGGATTGCATGTGGAACAAAAAGGTCGGCTGTCTAATGCAGTAGACTCCAAAGCGGGGTGCAGAAGACAATCCATTGTGGTGTAGGAAGACAATATATTCCACACTATTAATAAAATTATATTTTAAGCAGTGCTATTTCATCTTTGTCACATCCTCTTTTAACTGCTATTTCTTTTATAAAGTGTATTTCTTTATTTCTTCTTATTTCTTTTATAAAGTTCTTCTATCTCTTTTATAAAGTGTATAATCTACTAGAACACTAACACACAAATAGATAATAAATACACATTTTCATGCTAAAAAAATTTCTTAATTACCAATAGAAGCACACAGTCAAAGGATTTTGGGGACCACTAGTGTAGAGAGCAGGAGAACGACAATTTTTTAAAATATAAACATATTTCTATTTGGAACATCTTCTACTATATTGAGAAAAAGAACATTTCTTTCAACAGGATTTATGTTATTTTCTTGAAAAATACTGATATTTTTGTTTCTCACACTGTTTCTAGTGAAGCAGAAGACGAGGCAGCTGTGCCTGGTGTACTGCCTGGTTTGCAGGTTAGGTGCACAACATCTGGAAGCATGTTTGTTAAAACAATATTTTCTACTAGCTCTGCATCATTGGATACCCTTTTCAAAGGAAAATTTTGCTGCATCCCAGGCTCTGATCCTTTTTTGTGCTGCTAATTAGCAGTATCATAAGCAGCTAGCTCTCAGGAAGGCAGCACAGTAGCAATACACTTCCTGCACATCCACCCAACCCAGAACAAGCTGCAGGTTTGTTTTTCTTTTTTTACTATTAGTAGTGGTAATATTACTTTCTATTTTCTCCAAGCATCTATCTTGAGCTTACCTGGGAATGTTTAAAAACACTATACACTGGAACTTCAGCTCCTGGATCTTTGGAGTCAGGTCTGTACCATCACACTACAAAGCCAAAGTGACAGAGCACAGAGAAATTGCTGAATGGAGCCACAGACAAGAGAAGTGTTGCTGCTTTGTAACAGCTTTCCCAAGACTTTCCTTGGAATGTGTTGCAAATGTCATGCTCAAAACTGAAAAGTAACAGAGCCATTAAACTCTCACCTCGCTCTCTCTGCCTTTCCCCACCTCTTTTCACAGTACAAAAACACAATTTCCTATACTTACCACAACTTTAACGTGCTTGGATAAATCTCTTGAGCTTCTTTGCAAGAAGTCTGAAAAGGCTGCCTAGAACAGAAACGAGAGTAGGAATGGTCATCATTGCCTCCACTCTTTCCAAATTTCTTATCTCACCAGACAGCTCATTACCTAGTGCTATCCTTTTGTTAAACCTATTCTTTCCTGCTTTCAGAAAATATGACTTACGTATATATATCTATTATTTTTAAAGTTATACTTCTCCTTTTGAGAGGTTATGTCCTTTGGAGCCTAATGGTATAAATGCAAATTCTTGCTCACATTTATTGCTGTGTGTCATGTGCCATGAAGGCACACGGGCATGCTGGAAGTCATCCTCTGGTAAGCCATACAGTATGCCATGTACTATCAAATTTGTGTGTCTACTTAAACTGAACTCTAAAATAAAGTATTGTACACATCTCTTCTGAATAAAACAGCATATTCTTTTATTTGCATAAACACATACGATAATATGGAAATAAGTCACTCCAAATAGCTGATCACTGGCTTCTACTACCCATGACCATACATCCAAGACAACTCCTTAAAGCCAAAAAGATGCAGGCTAATACTTGGAGCATTTCTCCAGGAAACTCAGTACAAGTGTGCTGCCCAAACACTGGAAAAACTGGAACTCTTTGCTGAGAGTCTTGTGAGCCAGAAGCAGGGGGAGTAAAACGTGATCAGTGCTATGTCTAAACAAGCACTATAAGACAATTGGCACCCTCAAACAGGCATATGAGTGTCACTGCCAGAAAGAGGACACATGAATTTTAAATTGCAACAGGCAAAATAAATCGGCATTAGCCCCTCGTGTGAGAAAGTGAGAGAGAAGGGATATAGTAAAACATCCAAGCAAGTAACATCACATCATTCTGTAAAATGAATCACATGAACTCACCCCTGCATAAAACATTTTATTTCTAAATCGGCTGTTGAATTTCTCTGGATTTGCTTCTGTGGAAGGACACAAAGGAAAAACATGAGCACCCAAATAAACTGAGCAGATTCCATTGTACCTTCAGATTCATTCCTGCAGAGCTTTTATACACACCACTCAAATATGAAAAATATGAACATTAACACTTTTTTTTTTTTTTTTTTTTTTTAGTTCCTGCATCCGTGCCATTATCTGCTACCAGATTTCAAACACTGATATTCAATTCTTCCCCTTTCCTGTATAATGAAAGGAGATGGAAATATGAGCAAAAAAGTAACAATAATACAATTTGTTTATTTACCATCATTCAGACGACTTTTCTCCTTACCATTTGTGAGGCTTCCAACTCCACCAACATACATCATATTTCTTTAAGAGTTATTAGAAACTCACTAAACATTAGTTCTGCTTCAAAGTATGCATTAAGGTGAAAAAACATCCTGATGCATCACAAAATGGAAATCTAGAAGGTATGCTGGAATTGACATCTCTACCCAAATATCCATGCAGTAAACTATAAAAGGTTATTTTAAATCTATTTAGAGAGATGCTTCATTTTGATTAGACTCAAAATGACACAGAACTTTAATAGTCCAGTAGTAAGGCCCATGCAACACTTAATTATTCTCCTCATTAAAATAAATGCTTGTTGGTTTATTTTTCTTATCTTGAGGATTTCTGGTTTTCCACTGCCAACCATTAAATCTTATTATATTGCTCTGTCCATTAGATTTAAAGGACCTCAACCATCAGATATCTTCTCCCTGAGTAAATACTTATGGGTGGTGATTAAATTACCTCTTAATATTCTCTCCAATAACCTAAATGGAGTTCCTTTGATCTCCCAGCATAACGTTTCTCAGAATACAAATCATTTTTGTGCCTCCATGGGGACTGCTATCCTAGTCTGCAGCATCCAGAGATCTAAGAAACGGTCCTTCTGATACTGTATTCATTGATAGCACAGTGAATCACCTATTCTTGCTCAGTGATCCTCTAGCAAAACCATCCAAGCGCTGGCCCAGTTCTTCTGGCTAAAGCATCACATTGTTGTAAACACTTCCACATTACTTCTTCTCAAAAACCACTTGAAACAACTCATCTAGTTTTAAGTCACTACATCTCATAATATAATGCTCCACTTCAAAAGAATGAGCTACTTCATTTTCTGTGTGATTGTTTACCCACCTTTTTTATCACTCTTTTGTTGCGCGGCATGGGTGAGCCTAGCATACATACAGGGTCACCTTTTCTTAATACTATTAATTTAATTGCTAAGTAAACCTCATCTTTTATTCACTTACTGAGCTGACAGCTCTTCACAGAAAGTCTCAGAACCCCATGCTACAAAGTGGGTGAGTCCTGAAGGCTCAAATAAGTGCCCATGGTTCACGTTCAGTGATGTGGAAATCCTTGATGGCAAAAGCCACCAGGGTGCTGGCTGCCACACGGATCTTGTGACAAACACTGACCTGAACAAAAGCCCCAGTTTGGAATCAGCTAAGCAAGAAGAAGCCTTTCTGTGGTCAGGGACTTAGCAGTCTTTCAAGATACCAAACCGCTCCTACATCTGACATGGCAGATGAGCAGGTGTAGGGAGGAAACACTCTTTCTACTATGTGGAATAGAGCTTAAATTTGACTAGAATGCAATTTTGATTGTAGAAGTAAATCACTGACTGCATATCCAAGGCTCACTCCATCCTCAACCTTCTCAAGCTCACATCAACAAGAGACAAAGTGCATATTCCCTGCTCTACCAGAGCATAAACATTATGAAAGGAGAAACTGTGACCTCTAGAAAGATTTTCTACCAAGAAAGCTTCCTGAAGGAGAGCTAAATGCACTGGGCTTGGAGCCAGCCCTCAAGTCTCAATCTCATTAGTCACAAGAAAAGTGCAGAGGTTGCCAGGGAAAAGGCCACATTCACACAGAGGTTCCTCTGAGACACTGCAATTACTGTTTAGTTAAAATATAACAATTGAGCAATTTCCACAGCATAAATGGCCTGATACAGTGAGAATTCAAATCAATCTAATTTATTTTGGATTCCCTTCGTGGGGGTCTAAAAGAATACTTCTGTTTTTTTATGGTGTTGGGGAGAGAGAATGTTCATTGAATGCTTTTTGTATGCTTTTTTTTTTTTTTTTTTTTTTTTTAATTAAGAACAAAAATGTGTGATTTTAATAGCCCCACATAAACTACATACATACAACTAGTTCTCTTACTGGGTCAGGTGCAACGGTCATGCTAGTGCTACAGGTTTTGCTCAAATCTTCTAGAGTTTATCTGGATTTTTATCAGTTGTAGAAGATATCATAATCTGTTCTGCTTTACTTAATTCCACATGAAACACAATAAAACCCATGCATCAGCAACAAAAATATAAGCTTTTCTCTCCTAAAACATTGAAAAGTGACTTTGTATCTGTTAGCATTTGAGTTGATAGGAAACACCAACAGAATGACTTGTAAGAGCAGACATTTATACTACAAAAAGCTCTCCTAGCCACATAACCACTCAAAGACAGACAGCTTGCACTGCCAAGTATTTTTTCACCAATGTAAATTTTTAAAACACTGGCATCTCTGGAATAATATTCATTCTTTATAGGGTACCATAACTTCATTATTAAGTAATGCCTCCATTAAGTGAGAAAGTAGCCAAGCACAGTATATTCACAGTCACATTAGCAATGCATGGCAATATACATTCATAAAAAAATAAATGCATACAGCTGTCATCATTTCATTTCTACACCCTTTTGTGGCCCCTCGTTATTATTCTTGAAGCTTGAAGCAGTCTTAAACATTATAAAATATGCATTAGCTCATTCCATCATGCACTCTGCTCTTTATTTAATATGGCATTCAGATGCCATCTTTTCATTTTGCGATGACACTTTGATAATATGAAAATGAAGATAAGGGAGGCTGCCATTCAGAAGAAAAGCATTCTTATGAAGCTGAAATGACCAAAAAGTGAACACAAGCAATTGGAGAAGGTCTGTTTACACAGGCATGCTTGCCTAAACCACACAAATCTTCACAGTTCACATCACTCCAAAGTCACACTTGGGTTGAGTGGTATAACTGCCATCAGCAAGGGGACAAGCAGGAAGCTTCAACAGCTCAAATTGCTGACAGTCTGTGGACTTCATTAAAGCCTTTCATTTCCAGAGATACGTTCTGGGTCTGTACCAAGTCCAATGACATTATGTTATATTCATCCATAGGAAACAGCCGTTTGGTTTGAGAACGCAGTTATCCTTCTGCAACTCTGCTTCTCTCACAGCCTCACAGATCTTCTCCTCCCTCCACTTTCACACTGTTGGGAAAACTTGCACCTGAATTACGTTTGTACTTTCTACTCTTACACTGACACTTGTGCCAGTAAATCTCCTTTATGTTTGGACCAGGTTTCACTACAGAAGGTCAAAAACTTTGAAAAGCTCCCATTTTAGCTCTTTTCTTCCAGTGGATTCCATTTTTTCTTGTATTTTCTTTTTCTTTTTGAAATTACCAAATCTCTTGGAAATTCACTATAAAACTGATACAATTGCTTTCTTCCTACTTGTGGTTTGTGTGTTCTAGCAATCTTCCTGAATTATAAGAATTCAGAAAAGGGCATTAAATCCAAATCTATTCGTAATTTATAAAATAATTACGCAAGGCTAAGGAAGTAAAACACTCCTCTTACCTCTGGATTCGTGGAACTCCAGTGTAACATGTGCATCAAACCCAAGGCTGAAGTAATTATTGAAGACATTGAGCGGAAGCTATAATTAGATAATAGAAAGACATGTAAAAGCAGCACAGATTAAATATTCCATGCTACACCAGGAATTAACTATTTTAAATTTGGCACCTCCTGAAAGCCTAAAAAGAAAATGGGAAGTGTATGTAAGAAGTTGTTCTTCTAAGAAGGCTAGTAATAGCTTGTGGGAGATGCTCCATACAAAAGATAAAGAATGCAAACACATTTACTGAGCTTTATGATCATAGAAGTATCTTTGCAAACGTATTATAAAGTTCCTCATTTACTTTCTCATTGAGATTTTCCAGAGCATTTCTCCACTTAACATGTCAATATATAGGTTTTCCTAATTGCTTGGCACTTCAAGCTCAGCATGATGAATAAAACTCAAGCTGTGTTTTTCTTGCTTAATATATAACCAGGAGCAATGCAAGTGCCAGACAAGAAGCCCTAATTTTATTGAGGATGCATGAGATAGCAAAGCACACATCTGGCCTCTTCATCATTATACTGGCCCAGCAGAGCTGTACAGAGAGAAGAGTAGCATCCAATAAATAAGCTGGAAATTCTAACTGAAAAGAGGAAATTGGTGCATAAAAATACAATTTTTTTTTTAAATGTCAGTGACAGATTCAACATCACCTGCCCTATAACTCATCAATGTATATGTGATCCCTTCACACAGATTTTCCCAATCTTAAACTCTCAAGAGAGATGATCTCACTAATGGAGACTCACAGACAAAGATGTTAAATCCAAAGATACACTATTCTTAGCTGTAAAGAAGGGAACAGTTAGTATTTACCAGCAGAATCTTAAGTAATATTTAAATTATCTGTATGTTTTTAGATGTGTCTCAAATTTAGGAATGAATAGTGGTCACTGGGTTCCTTCTTCTGCCACCCTTAATTAAATGGAGGGAAAACAATGAGATGCCATGGATTTTTACCAGGATTTGGTTACTGAGACAAATGCTCAAAGTCTGAGTTACAAACAACAAATAACATAGCCAATACATACTAAGGTTCACGTGCCCCCGGACACATTGGAGAATAATAGGAAAAGATGCAATAAGAAATTGAAAAGGTTTTAGAGCTTCAGCACTCACACCTCTCATAGAAGAGAGAAGAGCAAAAATGCTCTTAATTATACTATAGTTTCCCTAGGGAAAAAAAGGCTCTAACCTTACGTGACCCATCTTCCAGCTCATCCTGTGGCAAATCTGGGTTGCGCTCAACCTGGAGATTCCATCGATCCAGCTGGACAATGGTCCCATCTTCTACATGACACAAGATCTTGGACACAGGCTCATCTGTGTAACCCTGGCAGCAGAATGAGTGTCACCAAAGTATCAGCCGTGGATAGCCAAAGAAAAGCAAATCATTCACCAATTAACTGGAAAATCTCCTTCCTTTCATGCAGATCTAAAACAGCAGATCAAACGTTCTTAAGAACATGCCAAATTATTGCTAGATTTTGATATAAGAAACAGTCAGATCAACTATTACTTAAGAACACAAGTTTTAGACAGGTGTGGTAAGACTAAGAGAGGAATTCAAAGCATATTTGCCTTTCATGAAATAAATCCAGTGCTGTAGTCAACGAAAACTACAGAGAAATAAAGTTCAAATAATACTTAAGTTATAAGTTCACATATAATTCTCACTACTTGGCCCGAAATACCAGACAGATACAGCACTTTTTTATTACAACATTTACATTACTAATAATTCAAAACATGAAACTGGAAACTGAAATAAGCTGTTGTGTCCATGTGAAGCAGACCTTGGGTAAAGCCCCATCAGCTATTTTAGCCAAAAAGAAGTTTTATGCTACTACACCACTAAATCAGAGCAGCAAGTTGAGGACCCACATGTAAGAGTAACCCCAGTCAGTGCTTACCCCACCCCAGTTGAGGGTGCGGGCAAGGTCATTCCCAGTGCCAAGTGGAAGGACAGCCACAGGAGGCTGGGGAGTGAGTTGCAGCTCATCTAGGATAGAGAGGATCCAGCCAACCTATAAAACCAGAAAAATGAGAAACTGTTGGTAAGGAAATTTAAAGGGAAGGAATGGAGAAGAAAGGCATGTTTTGACTATATTGCCGTCACAGAAAAGAACAAGTCAAAAAATAAAGAAATAAATAAATTAGAAAAGAAAAAACAATATATACAAAAATTCTACAGTTGCCCCATCTGAGATTTTTCCTCCCAGAGAACTGAAGAGTCTTCATGGAGCTCCTGTATAAAGAGCAGGAATAGGACACAAATTCTGTCTATTGTTAATAGCACACCAAGATCCCAAAGAAAGGGAGCGAAAAAGTTTCTGCCTAAAAAACTGTTCTGAAAAAGATGCTGTGTTTAGATTAGTTTAAAAAAAAAAATTAAAAATAAAAATTAAAAATTGGTGAGAATAATACAGACAGCTTAAGATTAAAATGTTGAATCACTCTTATACTAAAGAGGAAAAGATGCAAGAGGTACTTTAGAAAAGCATGTTCTGAAACACGGAGTCCAGATCAAGTCAAGTAGAGACACACCCACAGGTCTCCCAATACCCAGACACTTTAGAGCTGAATTGTTATGCCCTGAGCAAAGCAGATATATAGAATTATACATACAGGGCTAGAATAAAAGACTATAATACTCAGGGCTGAAGACTGTGCTTTGGGAAAATGAACATGGATCTTTTGCACCACAAGCGATTGATTGAGAGCTGGATCTTCCTCTCTCTCTCATTCTCTCTCTACTCCAGACCACATAAAATTTTTCAAAAGGAATCTGACATAGGAACAAATTAATGTAAAATATTTTACTTGTATTAAAAAGCACTTTCCAACAGGAAAAGGAGTATTGCTGAAAATATTCTCAAAATTTATATGCCTGAAACTCTTGCTATAAGAAAATAGCACTATTAGATTATTTCTCAACTTGAAAAAAAAAAACAAAAAACTATGAAAATGTCATGCATTTTGAATAATTTATTTTAGAAATACAAATATAAATTAGCATACAAATAAGAAAATAATGTCTATTTTTTTCTGATGTCAGTGTTCATAGATTGTATCTTCACTAATATTATGAGTTTTTAAATAAGACATAGAACTGAATGACAGATTCCACCTGGACAGGACTTTTCCACTCTCATCTAATACTTCTGTGATTTCAGGTAGATTCTTAGCCCAAACTGAAATGAAACTGGGCTTCAAGAAAACAAAACCTAGGTATTTGGTACTGCAACTTGAATTGGAAGTACTGGAGAGGGGGGTGGTCTGATAGAGGATGAGAAAAAGCCAACAACCACCACATCTGATATTCTGGAATAAGTCTCTCCCCACGTCTCTTCATGGAAAAATTAATTTTATATAAATATTATTTATTAAACAGTTACTGATCATAACTCATTGTCCAATTATTCAAGTGTCTATGTGGGATGTTATCTCACATCACAGATCATTGTCCAACAGTGACGTGAATAACTAAAAACTTTCATGAACCTGGATGTTACCAAAAGTATTTAAGCCTTTCATAGGTCCTATGATATGACTAAATAAAGTCCTTAAGGGATTGTCAGAGATAAGTCATCATCTAATTTTTGTAAGCTAGTCCTCTGGTATTGTGAACTGGAAGACAGGGAAAGGAGTCCCAATAATTCCCACATGGCCAAGACTCGTTAAAGAGTCCTTTGTCTTTGCCATTGACTTAATCTATACATTTGTGCATTAGCTTGCTACTGGGGCAGGTAGCCTTACAAAATACCAACAAGTTTTGTAAATGCTTTTAACTTTTTAATCAAAATCTCAAATTGCTCATGTACACTTGCAAAACTGCTCTTTGAGGTCATTTCTACACCTTACAGAGTCAAAGATGCTATTTCATTAAAGGATGATAAAGACTGTCATTTCCCTGTAAAAAAGAAGTCTCCTGACTGCTTTGAAAACAAAGTTTTCTTCTTATACCCAGAAAAGTAACAGCAAACAGCAGTGATGGAAAAGTTGCAATCAGTTCTGACTCACCTCAATAATGCAAGATAACATCTGGTCTCACTGAATATTCACTAAGTCCATTTGAGTCAGATTTCTCATTTCTAGATGTAATGGCTTTGGGAATAGCTAGATATTAATTTGCTTCAAACTGAGCAGCAGCGAATGTAATAGTAAAGTGCTGCTCTTACCAATGAGAAGGTGCTGCCCCCTGTTGCTTTCACTGCTCAGCAAACAAAGAAACAGAGGATGCTAGGGCTCAATGTGCTTGCATTTATTTCTATTTTAACATTTTTATAATGAAGATCTTTCTCCTAGGAAAATACTGGCTTCCTCAGACAGAAGCTTCAAACATTTCCAGAAACAGATTGAAAACATCTATTTTTTGATGCTTTTTTGAAAACATCTATTTTTTGCTGAAGTAATACCTCACAAGTTTCTCAATGATTGTTCTGAATTCCATAAGAGTAATATTTATTGCCCCAAGTACCAGCAAGATGGTAATCAGATCATGTTGTTTCTTTTGTCTTGCAGGGGAAAGCACTAGTATTAATGACCTCTACATCCAGAGTTTCAGAAGTGCTCACAAAAGCAGATAGGAGCTGAGAGTGTGTTCAGTTCACTTAAAAAATAATAATAATTAAAAAATAAATAAAAGCCTGGTAGTGTGATGACTATGTACTTCTATACATCCTGGCCAGCCATTGCACCTTGCAGCTACTATAGTTGCAAGTATTACCAAAAGAATGTTTGGGGAACTGAGCTACCTGGAGTCTAAAGGTCAGCTTTGTAACTGTTTCAGCACTCAGTGGTACAGGGTGAGAATTACTGTACTCTTCAGAACAGGCAAGAGCAAAGCAGTTGTAATTCATTCACTCTTGGCCTCCAAGCCCCAAACTGTAAAGCCTGCCTCCATCTGAAGGTGTCCACGTCTTCTGAAGATCTGACACTACTCCCTTCTCCAATTCAATTGCAAAGAAAGTACTGAATCTGGAGATCAGTCACAACACAGGCAAGTAGCATGACAGCTTCCTCACAGTGGATTTGTAAAGAGGGTGAGGAAACTAGAGACATTTGATATTTGACTGTACTCAGGCATAGTGGAGACAATAGCAGAGAGGAGTAGAAATTAAGATTAAATGACCCCCAGGCACTGATTTAACCTGCTAGACCCTCAGATCTGTGAAAAATAGTAAGAGGAGGCTGAAAACGTTTGTCTTTATTTTTTAAGCTATACTAAATCTACTCATAAAGCAGATAGGATCTAGGACATTAGCACATAAGAATACGGTCCCATCAATAAGCAGGCCAATCCACATAGAAAAGAAAAATGAAAAGATTTCTTAAGAATAAGGTAGGCTATCAGGTTCTATAGGCATCACAAAGTGGGAAACCTATGTAGTGAGCAATTTCAACTCTTGGCAATGACCAGAGGGCTGCCAGGCACCAGTCACCTACCGTTCCATCCCCACCACAGGCCAGGATCCGCAGGTTTGGCACTTTTCTGTACAGCTCCAGCCTGGCCAGGGGAGGGAAAAGCGAAAAATAATTTTGAAAAAGTCAGTATAGCAATGAAGGTAGTTAATATGCAAGTGATAGTTTAACCATCATTTATTTCTCTCTAAATATTCATTACTGTTGATGCAGGATGGAGGAGGAAAATTTAAAAAATGAAATGGAGCTTTCCTTAACAGTTAGACAGCCCCTCCTGAGAAGTGTTTTGTCTGTTTAACATGGGAACATGTAATCTGAAAAGCCAGATTCTCATTCTTTCTCTGGAGATGACAAAGTCTTCTATTTTCCTCTTATCCTAAGGCAAACAAACGTAAACACTGAAGCTTTAAACCAAATGAAGTGTTTCTCATCATTGTTTCTGAACCGCTGTTTCTGAAGTGTGTAGAGCAAGACAGCTCCTTCAACAAAAAATACAAACTTGTATTTTTTAATACCACGGAAGGCAGTAACACCTAACGAAACTCTCTGGATATCTGATCTAAGATACAAACAGCAGAGCCAAAAAAATGCCTGTTCCATCAGTTGCATGAAAGAGAGGCATAATAAGACATCTCCCAGTGGAGGAGATACATTCCCATACTGAGACCTGGTTTACCAAGGATCTAATTCAACCTTCAATCTGTTACACAGCTCTGAAAACCATCCATTTACTTTTAAGTTTCTATACATCATTAGGAGAGTAGCGGGTGTTTCAGTAGGAAAAACATGTTTGGGTGCCCTAGAAGCATGAATAGAAAATACTTGGACCATACTTATACAGGTAAACATTTGACTTTAAATTATTACCATCTTTCTGTACTAATGTCAAAGGAGCACTGAGCAGACAATTAAGTAAAGCAAATATCCCTACCTCAAATACCACAGAAGCAAAGTTTCTTTACTCTTAGCAGTGAGAATCATCCCTCTAAAGGCAGGTTCTCTCTCCTTCAGGAAGCACTCACCCTGCAATAACTGCCTAGTTAATGAGTGTCCGTTACTCAGCATGCAAAGACAGCTGCATGCTGCAGTCACACATGGAAATCTAAAGGTAGCTTCACTCCATTAAAGATCAGCCACCCGGGAATGGTCAAGCATTGTAGGATCTGCAGTCCATGGGCTCTACTGAGATTTAGGCATAAGGTACTGATCAATGAACTCCTTGTTTTGACTATGCGAATCCGATCACCTATGTAATAGCTTTCAGTCACTGTTTTCCTATAATGTGATTCTATACCTAAGAAAGGCCTATTATTTTCTTTTTCTCTGCTTACATCACTTGCTGTGAGTCCTCCCCACAGTCACATAATAAAAGAAACAAACGAAAAAAATTCTGACCAATAGAGGGTGCTCCTTAGTAAATGTAAAAGATTATATCTGAAAGCAGCCATACCTTTCATATGTCTAGTTTAGTGCTAGTGGTGGCAATGGCGATGAGGAGACGGTCGGACTAGATGATCTCATAGGTCGTTTCCAACCTTGTGATTCTATGATTCTATGATTTGATCTATGTATTCATAGAGAGCATAGAACCCATTCCCATCTTACTTTACATGAACTGCTTATCTCAGGAATATGTATCACTCAGAATACCATAAATCTCAAAAGATTTCTATCTCAACTCCAGATCAAAACAGATTCAGTGCTGAGACCAGACCACATTTCTCAGGGTTTCATCAAGCCAGGGCTCAAAAATCTCCACATACAAAGAGAATCCAATCTAATGGGTAACTGTCCTAGAGTGAAAAAGTTTTACATCTATTTAGATGTATTTATTTACATCTTTTTTTATAAAAAAAAGGTTTTTTTACATCTATTCAGAACTTCTCTCATTTCTACTCTCTCTTTGGACATTTTGCCCACTGTTTCTTGCTCCTCTTGCTATGCTGCTGTAAAGGGTCAAACTGTCTTTTCAGCAACATCCCCAGTAGGTATCCAAAGCTGCTGCCCAAGCCTGCTCTTCTCAATACACGTGCTTAAGATCTTATCTGAACATGCAGAGGCATTTACATAGGCTTATCTATATGCTAAAACTTTGATTCTGTATCACAATTTGAATCTTTGAAAACCCAAATCTATCAAAATGATTAGTCTACCAACCTATCCAAGCCAGATGTTTCTCTGCTATCCTAATACAAAAACAGAGCTGAATGCCTGAAAACTTACGCATCTTTTGGCCCTTCCTGAGAGAGATCAAAGACCTGGCGTGGATTCAAATACCACATAAACATTTGGAGAACCTTGGTGCCCTGGGAAAAGAGAAAAATCAAAAAAGGGAAATTATGAATAGCATAATGATTATTAAAAATAATAGTGTTCATATTTGGACTGCTTTTCTTCCCTTTATGCTTTATAATGCAAACACAAGCCAAGAAAAAAATCAAAATAAAAAGTGTTGCAGCCAATGATAGCTCTATAAAATAGTGACTCAGAAATCCATGCAGTGTGCACATGTGTGCTTATAAATTGAATTGAAAAATACAGATCATTAATGGTATAAGAGTAGGCACTTAGGGTCAGACAAAGGTTTTTCTCCCACAGAAACCTGTTCTCTCATCACCTGCAACAAGAAAGATCTGTAATCCCACACATCCTCAGACTGTTATCTGTGACACCAATAAGCTCAAGAATTTTGTGGGCAAAATTTGTGGGTCACAGTGAAGAGTGTCTTGCCCAACATCCATGTAACGCTGCTGCTTTGACCTCCAAAACCATCATCACAAATATTACTATGAGCCTTTACTGCCCTGAGAAGCAGCATCCAAGGACTCCATGGGCTGCAGCTGCACCACTCGCTCAGTGCAGGTTGGTCAACACGTAAAATTACATCATATTTAGCATAAAATAAGTCTAGAACTTCACTAGGAATCTAAATTTCCCACGGAAAAATGAGGTCTTCTGAAAATCTCCAAACTACCATTTCAGGTTCCTATCAAAAATCTGAAGATATGAAGGCCGAATCTCAAGTATTTAAATATCCTTTCTTCCACTTCAGTGGAATTAGAGATATAAAGGACATTCAACTGCAAGCATCTATTCTAGGAGACTCTAATACAGTCACATAGAGCTCCTCTCACTCGTGACTGACTAAAAACTATTCTTATTTGCAGAAAACAGTTATTAAGCTTAAACTTTGTTACCTGGATCCATATTATGACCTTACCTGGTTCCCTCCACTTTTTGGATTTACAAAAACCAACAGTGGTTTCATGAGTGGAGAGGAAATAGGCTTTATCACAAATGGTCGACCTTTGTTATCCTGGGAAAACACAGCAAGAAGCAACGTTAGTAAAAGTTAGGAAAAGGGTAGATTTCACTGGCATATCACACATAGAAAACCCAACATAGCTCTGACAAAACTACCTTGGATATTAGAAACAGTGCAGCCATGATAACATGATGCTCAGCTGAGACTAAATTCATGCAGCTGAGAAAATTACATAAGAAAATAAGAAGGAAAAAACTGTTCCAGGTCAGCCCCCAATTTTTTTTTTTTTTTTTACTTTATATTCTTTCCCAAAAAGAAATTATTCATACAGTTCTAATAACATGTCAGATATAGTGCTATTTCTAATATGAATTATATTTTTTTCCAATAGAAAATGGAATGAAATAAACTACTTACTTCCTGACTCCCATTTAACAGACAAATTGAACCAGTGTTTAGTTGCAGATTATCTGCTCCTATATTCTTGGTGTTGATGGCCCTACTTCTTTGAACAGCTTTTATTTGTATTATGTGATTCAAATATTTCTCGTTGCAGAATCACAGAACTGTAGGGGCTGGAAGGGACCTCTAGAAATCATCAAGTCCAACCCGTCTGCCAAAGCAGACTCCCTAGACCAGGTTGCAAAAGTAGGCATCCAGGCAGGTCTGGAAAGTCTCCATAGAAGGAGACTCCACCACCTCCGTGGGCAGCCTGTTCCAGTGCTCCACCACTCTCACTGTGAAGAAGTTCTTACGCACATTTTTGCAAAACTTCCTATGCTTTAGTTTGTGTCATTTCCCCTTGTCCTATCACTATGCACCACTGAAAAGAATCTGGCCTCATCCCTTTGCCTCCTGCACCTTAGATATTTTTATTAAGTCAATGAGAAATATATCTGCCTCCCAGCTTCTCTGTATCTGTAGTACATTGAAGAGCCCCGTAATGAGGACACTCTCCTGGGCCAAGGCAAACACAGATTGAAGTTTCTGGTCTGCAGTTACCCAATGCCCAAGTGAGGATCTTACCCACAGAGCTCTATCTGGGCAGAGGTAAGTCTCCATCCACCTCTCCCCTTAAGGCTGTCATTCAGTATACCACTTATACAGTAGATAAGAGCTGGAAACAAAGTCTTCTATAATCTACATAGTAAACCTAAACATAGGACCAAATATCCCCAACAGGAGATCTCCCAAGGCAGACTCTCAAAGCAGACATTCAAGTCAGCTCCATATTCAGACTCTTGCAGTCAACACTCAGAAACCACTTTCACATTCCTGCTCTGCCTAGTTGAAACCAAGTGTTTGAGCTGAGTCTTTTACACCCCAAGGGAATACTGTTTCATTAGGATGGTATGCTGCTGCTTGAAAAAAAATCAACTCAGCAAACGACACTTCCCATACAAGTTTTTATCAAAAGTAATATTTTCTCGCAACTTCAATAACACGGAGTTTTCCAGCAAAAAAAAAAAAATATATATATATATGTATATATATATATCTCAAAAACACAGTAAATGGAACTTTAAAATCTGCATTTATACATTCAAACAAAAGTAAACTTGTTTTCAAAGCTCTTAAATACCTACATCGTTGCCTCTTTTGCTGGCTTTTCTTTTAAAAGACGTCCTCTTCTTTCGCCGTGTTGAAGTCTTTAATGAGTTCTACATAAAAAAAAAATAAAGAAAAAAGAATACATGAAAAGCAAAACAAAATTTGGAAGACAGGCACAGACAGAGCCTCTTTATGAAGCTCTTCCATGCATGTCCACTTGGAGAATGATAAGAGTATCTGGCACATGCTCAAGATTTAAATCACATGCGCTGCATGCTTTACACTTCCACACCACCGTTTATGGAGAAAGCCACACACGGAGACCAGACTGGTGCTTTGGAACTGGAAACTTTCCCACGCTGTGAGGGGGAAAAAAGATCAGATGCTCCCATAGACTCACATAACACCACATGTTGTACCTGCCAACCCTCCCAATAGGGGTAGGAGACGCCCGTTTCCCCTTCGGGGCTCCAGTCTCCTGCCCAATCAGTCTCGTCTCCTGGTATGGAGACCCCCTGCATAAAGATGTAATAAAAAACATGATAAATGAGATATTTTTCATGTTTTTTTAGGAAAGAAAACAACAAGTTTTAGCTCTGGCAACCATTATGACTCAATATAACATAGGCCACCACGGCATATGAGGCTGGCACTGCAGAGTGAGTTCCAGCCCTATCAAGAAGCTTGTGTAATCATCCGATGAGGAACAATGTGAACTGTTAGTAATTAAGGAATCAAGCTTTTTCCCAGTTGTTTGCTTTTTCAATAGCAACACTAAACTACAGAAGAAAATGCAAAACTTCTTGTATTTTTGCAGAACCTAAAAAATATGCATGAAAACTATTCTTCAGGCAGGCAATAGCCTAGTTACTAACACCGAACCGTAAAGGTCTTCCGATGTGATAAAAACATATCAAAAAGGGGATATAATTTTTTTTCCCTTGATATTTAATGCCTGAAATCGTATCCACAAGAAATACTTAGTCTATGATTGAGATTTTGTATTACAGGAAATACACAGGAAATTAGAAGAAAGTTAATTGATTTTTTTCTGGCTTCAAGATGGGAGCAAGATCCACCCAGCTCATCCAAAAGGTCATTTCTGTCATAATGCTATTCAAAAGTGTGTCATTAATGAGAATAAGTTAATGATCAGAGATCACCAAGTCTATAAGCAATGATAACTGTCCCTACTTAATTCTGCTCACTAACAAGTAATACTATTACTTGGAGAACAGTTACTAGAGTCTCTTGATTACCTAACAACCGCATTCAGAATTCCAAAACTTTGATCCAACACATCAGATACAAAATTCAGATTTTCCTGACTTCTCAGAAATGTGGAAAACTGTAACAGCAATCTAACTCAAATATCTGAAGAAACTATTATCTCCTTTTGAACCCAGACCAAGAGAGATTTGCTGTATAGCAGAGCCACAAACTTATATCACCTCCCAACATTCCTTGTGGACCATTATATATTTATGCCTTGTTGCTTACTGAAAATACTGAAGACAATGTGGCTCAGTAGAGCAATGCCAAGGCACTTGCCCTATTAGGGCACAGTTGGAGAAAATGTCTAAGGAGATGTTCTTATTCTTCCCTACTCTGATACATAAAAAGTGATCTTGAAAGCATGATAAATCACAAAGACTGTGCTGACAACAGAAGTGAATGAGTAGTCTCAGCTTCACAGACTTTCACTGCCCTACTTTAGGAGCCAGACTGAGGGTAGACAGAAGTCTTTATATCAGTATAAAGGCACAGCAATTGCCCTCAAAGCTCCAGCAATCAACTGCAAGCAGTGGGGTTCTTGGCCTGTTTTCTCAGCTGCTTTCACAGGTGTGGGGAAAACAAGATAGATTGAGATCCAGCCTATCTGCAGATGTCTGCCACCTATCTGACAAAAGCTCACGGACATACTGAGACTTTTCCTTGGGCTCTAGTCTCCCTAGGTGTAAAATTGAAGATACTTATCCTATCGGTAACATGCAGTGAAGTCTTCTGGCAAATCACAGCCAGTAACTCAAGTTCAATATTATATTAGGATAGTATTTAACTGTATCACCTGAAGAAGGACTGTACTTATTATTCTACTTCCTCAGTGGATGGACCTAAGCCAGTGAAATTATTTTGGAAAAAGAAAATACTGCCTAATTTAAAGAATAATAATAATCAATTGAAGACCGTTTAAGTGTAGTTGTTATTAAATCCCATTATAGCATGGCTCCTTTCTTGCCTATGAATGGGGTGGGAAGAGGCATATGAGCGTGTTAGTGAAAGAGTTTCAGCCTAAGCCTCCACCATAACCTTTTTTCCTTAATTTCTACCCTCAGGAAGGCAATATAATATGCTATGTCACAACTATGTTATTTCACCTTTTTTCTTTTAAAGCATACTTACATCTGTAATGTTAAGGCAACCTAAATCTTTGCTACAATGATGCACATCTACAGCAGATGGAAGGCAAAAAAGCTGATTAAACATACGCAAGTTCTCCTTGCAAACATGCAGAAGAATAACAGACAGAAATAATCATCAGTCTTTGCACATGAAAGTGAAGAAATGACTGCGTATTACCTTGTCCACAAAACAAGGTGATGAGTATTTTTACAAACAGATAATGTTATTCAGCGAAATACTTGATAACAAGGCATACCTTTACTGTGCACCATATGTAAATCCTAACTTGCATCTAGAGAGGAAACCTCTCCTTTGTGGATGTCAGTTTGGCCATCTTCAAAGAGAGATGTTTGGTATTACTGCATCATCACTATAGTTCTAAGCAAGTTTAGCTAAATGAACAAAAGAATTGGAGTCCTTTTATGGTGTTGGTTGGTGTAAGGACTGCAGACTATCCTCAACAGATCTAATGAAACTTTTCCACCTTTTCCTTTGCAACATTTCAGTCTTTATTTTCAAAGGCTTTTAACATGCTGGACATCAAATGATGTAAGCAATGAACAGCCTCTGAGAAGGTCTATCTTGACCATCTTCTGGTTGTTCACAAACCACATCTAGGCAAGACAGCTGCAGCAAGCAACTGATGAAAGGAAGACATTAGCCGAGGAGTATAAAGATTACTAGCACTTTTTTAAGGCCCTTGAAGGAGGAGGAACAGAAGAAAATAATATGTTTACTCACCTTGAAAAGAAAAATACAAAAAATTAATAAAATAAAATGGAATTTTACACTTACTGTCTTTGCCTTCCCAAACAGAAGATAACAGATTGAATCAGTAGGTGCATCAGCTAGATGTACTCCTCCTCATCATTAACTTTTCTCTCACAACGTAAGCATAGCAAGCCCATTCCTAGCACAAAACTACTTGGGCTACCAAATCTCACACATCAGTCAACAAGGGTGGCCTGTTTTCACAACAGTGAGGAGAATTAGGAGAGGGAATTGATTTGAACCACAGGAAATCAGAAATGGTGTCAAAGTGCTGCTAGTACAGTACAGAAATATTGGAAAACAGTAAACTAGTTACAGAAGTATGAACACAATGAAATAGATACTGGGAATTTTCCATTTATGTAAACGGGTCATTACAGACAGGGCTACCACCTAACCCAAAGTTGATTAAACCATTTTGAATATTCATCATGTAGCAACCAATTGCTTGCAAAATGCAAAAGCTCCCCATTTAAAATGTAAAAGGCATGAACAAATTTTTCCTTAATTACATAATCATGGTTTACTACCACAACATTCTGGCATTCAGAGGGGGAGCGTACTGTTTATTCAAGTACAATATTTGAAAGGTGGTGACCCTTGTTGCACGTAAGCATGGAAAAGCATTTTTGTAGCAATAAAAAGAGAAATAAAAATTGAAAACTGGGGCAAGGCTTTGCTACAAAAAGCCACCTTATTTGCCTAAAAGAAACAACCAATAAAAGGATGAAGGCACCACTAAAATCAACTTCACGAGTAGGAAATTCATTTCAGGAGTTGACCATGATTAACGTGAGTAGTTAATTAGAGCTGAGAAAATAATTTATAACCAAGAGGCTTGTAGTCAAATTTACTCCAATTGTGAAATATGTGAAAAACAAATTGCTGCTTACATATATTAATTTACTATCTGAATTCACAAAAATTTTAATATTGTATTTGTATTCTGTGGACTGAATGCAACAATAGTGTTCACCAAACAGGCATATAGGGTGAAGAGGGCCACAATACACAGGAGAGCTGGCCAGAAACAGCAGGAGAGGAAAAAAATTCCTAAAGAAACATAAGAAAAACAAACAAGACTTCTGTCAAAAAAAAATCTGAAAATGCATGTAATGTATTGATATTTCCCACAGCAAATAGATTAATTCCACAAAAGTAACACTGCACAAGATGTTGTTCAGAAATTTTGTGGAAACTCTGCATTGTGTAGGAATATGATTTATCTAAAGCTTCAGTTACTCAAAGTGATTTTTTTTTTTTTTTTTTTTTTTTTTTGCATTAATTCTAAGCACTTGACATGTGATGAGAGGGAAAATTGGACTGACATACTTCCCCTCCATTTATGACCGCAAAAAATTAACAGACATTTCATTTACGCCTAACATTTAAAACATGCATTTGAAGTCTTTTTACCCATGAATAATATTTTTTGACCTTTCTGAAAAAAAAAATAATAATAAACAAGAGAGTAAATCCTATGAGGAAGACACCCTGCTTTGATTAACCAGTAAATCAAGGGAAAATTTTAAAAGTAAAAGCATAGAAGATTAAAGCAGGGCTTTTTCAATCAATCAATACTTCTGTTTTTATTAATTTATTTATTTTTCTTAAATTAGAGTTCTAGTTTTTAATATTCTTTTTAATATTCTTTTCTCATTTTGTTTAAAAATAATAGTAACTGTGGTGTATTGTAGGCTCACTAAAAGGGGTTTTGGTAAGCCAGAAATTATCAAACAAATTCAGTAATCTACCTGTTTTTGTAGGAAAATATACTAAAAGGCACATAAAAGGCATTTTTGTTGTTTTTTGTTTGGTTTGTTTGTTTGTTTTTAATGGTGATTTAAAATGATTTAAGAGAAATACATTGGAAATGTACCGGATGAAAAAAGATTCATATTTTCTTATCAGGCCTCTGAAGACAGTAGCATCTCCAGCCACATAAAACTGGTTCTTAGATCAGCTATATCCTTTTTCCCATGTGCATGGGATGAAGTGTAGTTAAATGGTAAATGTATAGTCAGTAACAAGTGGTGTCTGGCCTTTGCCTCATAGGTTATGGCTGTGTGTGTCCTTGAAACAGAGGATTTTAGGTAAAGAAGATTGATTATCCTACCTACAGCTCTAAGACATCCATCTTCTTCCCACCTGCAAGCTACCTGAAGTTACCTGGTCAAAAAGGAGATTCTCATACCTCATCTAAAAGTAATCAGAATTTCCTACAACTCATTATGCTGAAAATAATTTGTCCAAAATGTCTTCTGATCCAAATAATTTTGGTCATCTCCAAAGTACCAGCCTCAGCCTGTACAGGAGCTAATTAGTATTTATATCTTTTTGTCTTCATGTAGATGTTCCAGGTGGAAAGCTCAAGGACCCTACAGGTACCCAGTTTCTAGTTATGGACTACAACAGCTACGGCATTCTTCTTAATGGTTCCTAACCCCAGGATCTCTGCTTTATGGATCCATCTCAAGACCCCAAAACCTTGGAGTCACCATTCCTTGGCTAAATGACCAAAGCAGAAGTTCCAGGCACACCACCGTGAAACCCAGCAACTGAAAGTCTTATGACTAATAGGCCATACAATCTTTTTAATGGGGCAGAAAAGGAACCAGTCTCATTTTTGTGCCAAATACTACAGGTGCTGAAAATTAGCCAAGGAGATTAAATCTCTACTGAGGACTTAAAATTCAACAAGAAAAGAAAGAGATTTCTCTTGAGAAGGCTAGAGTAAACTAATAGAGGAAAAGGAGTATGGGAAAAATACAGAAATGCCAAAGAGACCTTTTTTTTTTCTCAGAGGAGAGGTGGCTAGAGACCTTGCATACCTTAAATCTAAAGGAGAAACTGTGATCTCTTTGGTCGAGTTGTTTTTTGGTTGTTTTGTTTTGATTACTCAAATTCTGATTTACTTATTTATTTCCTTCCTGTCTTTAGAATCAAGCCTGTTAGAAATAATGCTCATGCACAAAGATGACATCCATATCCCTAGACTGGAGCTAAAGACCAAACAGTGTCCAAACTGCACACCTTTTTCTAGTTCCACACGGGGACATTTTGTCTTAGTGCCTTTCCCCATGCTGTGAAATTCTTTGTTTCCTGCCAGCCAGGACATGGAGTCAGAAAGCCCTGAGTCACTTATCATGCTAACGTACAAGCTGCACAACATTGTTCAATAACACCAGCATTCCTGTTTTTTCATCCATTTCCTTGCTGCTGAAGTAAAACTTATACCAGCATGTCTGGTTCCTTGATGTGTTCAGTGTGTGTTTGTGTCTTTCAGTTCAACCTGGAGTGAAAAGAGACTTCCAAAAACAACAACAACAACAAAAAAAAACAAAAACAAAAACAAAAAAAAAACAAAAACAAAAAAACAACAACAAAAAAATTACTTTGTGCATGATAAGAATCCCCTTTTAATTTTTGGCCAGCTCTCTTTAGGATACCTTCTCTCCCTCACTAATGAATTAACCTCACTAAAACGTATCACATCTATAATAAAGCTTTGAAGTCTCACCCTTTTACCTGCAACTAAGTGGGCATATGGTCTTACTGTTGGCATTCAGCAAGAACTGATGTGAACAAGACATGATTATTTAACTGTACTTTGGTGAAAAATTCAGAGGGATGCCAGCCCAACTACAGTGAATTCTTACTACAGTTCAAGTGAATGTTTGTTACTAGTTTTTCCCTGTATTTGCTCAGCTCTATTTAATGAAGCATGCTTTACTGCCTCCAGCACAGGGGATTTCTTGCAGTACACTAGCTGAAGTCACAGAAGAACACACCTGAGCTGCATTGCTCAGAACAGAAGTCATGTTTGCTGCTTGTCAACCCAAACAAGGAAACCTACTGAAGGGCTGGATGGAGGATACAAGTTCATAATCACCATGAATGTATGCTGGGTTTCAGGGAGAGAGACAGGGTTGAACGAGCATGCCTTAGTGGAGGTGTACTGAGTGCAGAAGCCAGGCTGGCCCTGTGAAGCCATACAGCTTCAGAAACAGACATCAGCATGCAGTTACCTGAGGTTTCTTCACCTTAATGATCCAGGTGGGAGGCACAATGACAGCTGCGTGAGCCCCAAGAGAACACGGCTCCTCAATGTGATGTAGCATGAAGCAGGTGACTTTGTTATGAAACTGGAGGGGAGGAGAAGAGTAGAGCCGATAAGGAGGGCAAGGAAGACATAGTAGAAGCAAGGAGAGGAAAAAGAGAATGAGACTGCAAAACTAGAGCAAAGTTCCCAATTCTCTCATCCTCAAACCCTGGGAGCTCTAGGAAGGTATAACTAAATACCACCTTCCTCAGCCATTCTTTATACCAAGGGGAAAAGATCAAGAAAAAAAAAGGGAGAAAAAAAAAATCACTTCTACTTTTGTAAGAGCAGATTAAAGACCATAACCCAGCCTGACACACTAAATGCATTAAAAGCCCTTTGGCTCTTTGAGCTGGAAGCAGCGTGGTGTTGATGGGAGGTAGCCAGTGACTACATGGGGTAGCAAGACCCTTCTTCTAGAAGGCTTAATGTATTATCCAGATGAAATTATGGCATCTGAGCAAAAGAAAAATGAAAGAGCAAAACTGGTAGTGATTCACTGAGAGAAGAAACTCCGAGAGCCAGCACAATTGAAATCATATGCCTTGAGGCTATGCAGTGAAGGTGTTACTACTGCTTTCCACGAATATTATCCACTTACCGCCAGCTTGCACCAGGAACAACTGATAGCCACAATCTCTTTACTATGGAAGGAGAATTTCTGCTGAAAGCCCTACAATAAGCAGAAAAAAATGAGTTAAATTCACCCTGACTACAAGAAAATGTATGTCCTTAATTCTTGTCGGGTAACTGTGCTAGGTTAAACCAGTTCAGTAGACTCACATACATTGGTTCAGCCTCAAAGCTCTTGGATTCCAAATATATTTTGGGAGGATAATGTAGTGACAGGATTGATAGAGAAGGCTCTTCAGCTACAGCATGCTCTCACACACACTTTAAAGATATTTCCCCAAATTTTTGTGCTTTTTATTAAATTTTATAGTTAAAGAAGGACAGAGGGATGAAGAAAGAGAAGAAATGGCTAATTTAATGGCTTTCTACAGTTGTGACAATCAGATTTTTTGCTGAAGTGAACATTTTTTCACTGCAGTCTTTTTTGCTTTAAATATAAGTAAGAATTGGGTTTATTAACATTATTTATTTATTTTTAGCATAGAGTGGAATCAACTATAATATCTGGCTGGAAATCTTCCATTTGGGAAATTAAGTTTATTGTTTTATTAAGCTGACTCAGATCAAAATCTTTTTAGTACATTCCAAAAAAAAAAAAAAAAAAAAAAAAAAAAAAACAACAACAAAAACACACCACAAAACCCAAGATTGTCTCATTCAAATCAAATATAAAAATATATACTTCTGTAGTTTTCAGGAGAAAAACAAACAAATAAAAAACACCACTACCAGCAAGTATGGGATTTTATTTTCCCACAGTTTAATTTTGTAGAATGACATTTCAACAGATAGATCTCTTTCTTCCATATTCTAAAGCTGGAAAAGACCACTGGGTCATACACATTCTTCTTGCACGTAACACAGGTAACAAATGACAACTGGAGCTATGGCCTAAAAACCTGCATTCACTTGAATCATATTTCAATCAGAAAAATACTTGATTTAGGTTAATGTCTGTGGAGACTGAAAGTCCAGCACTTAACCTTCATTTACTCTAACTGAGATCTTTTAAAGATTCTCACAAATCCTACACTTTGTCCCAGTGTATTGAAAAAGAATAGATCAGCCTCTCATCAGCATGAAATGTTTTTTGTTCTGGTTTTTAAGAAGCATGGGAGAAATTTTTATCTCCCCAAACCTCCTCTAATGAAACCTCAAATTCAGTACATTGATTCCACAGCCCGTTAGTGGTATATTTTAAACATGTGAACTGAGCAGCTTGTCTGGTTCTGGATGGATCGTTTCTTATTTATTCAGTAAGTCGGTTGGCTTTTAGGGAGCTGTTAGAGAAAATACACGGCAGTAAAAACATATTAATAATAAGAACCAATCATTCCTCGTTGCTTTACAGTTGTGAGCTAATTCTTCTTCAGGATACGTGTTTGGGATAAGACTGATTTTTGAAAGCTAACATTCAAAGGGAATGATGAAATACAGTGATGGGTTGCAGGTCACAGGGAGATTTTATGTAGATTATTGGGTTGAAACACGGGGGGACCCCATAATTCACCAGAAATTCTCTCTTCTTCCTTTCGTCAGTCAGGAAAAAATATGAGAGTTCAATTATCCCACCTTGTCCATGGGTTATGTAAGGAAACTTTCTGTATAAATTCAGAAGCATGGGGATGGAAAAGTAATTGCACTTTTCGGGGGATACCAGGCAAAACAGTTCCTGATTAATCCTGATTCACTGGCGTCAGGTTGCTGTGCAACACATGAAATTCCATGCTGTGAACTGCTCCTGTGCAAGTACGCAGTCATGCGTAACAGAGAAAACATGTTTGGAGGAAAAGGGCACCTGAATCTCCAGCTTGCACTGGTGATTGCAATCTGCCTAAATAATTGGGATCAAATCCCCCACTAATAAAGGCTCTCACACACACAGTACAGAGGGATCACTAGCTCTGGTATGTTTTGGTTATATCCTTAGACCTATTTACCGTTAAAGATCATTTTCACATCAGTTTAGGGGAGCAGTCATTCATCATGGAAAAAAAAACAATACAAAGGTGTTTATTCTATTTCTAAGGCTCTCAGACACTTTCCAATGTAACATTACTGTATGAGGGAGGGGTACTACTACAACTCCAGTACAAACAGTAACAGAAGCACTTAGATGGTGACTTATATGCAATGAAAACAAAGCCTTGCATCCACCCAGAGGCCTTTAAAAGCACTACTGAAAAAAAGAGACCAATGCACAGCTGCACACTGCGTGTTTTATGGACACATTGCTTTGGACATCATGGAAAGTAAAAACAGATTAAAGGTCTTTTTAATGTGATGGTACAGATGCATTCAGTCTCAGAAAATCCCTAAATTACTAGGAGCTAGTAATTATTAGTTTAGGAACAAAGGGTTTTGCATTCATCCTTAAGCTTCTATTACTGCACACAGTCATGGGCTGCATACTGGGCCACACGGTCTGATTGCTCTCATGATAAATTATGCAAATTTAAAAGAAATTAAAACCAAAAACAATTACTCTGAAGATCTCAGGTAACAAAGATAATAACAGCTGAGAGCTTGCAAACTAGATTTTCTTCAGATTGCAAGTGAAACAAATGAGCAGAAGTGCAAGAGAAATATTTAGCATAATGAATGGCTTAGAGAACGTGTCTTGGGAGTGATTATTTACCACCTCTTCCAACGTGAGAGCTACGGAGCATTAGAAGATAACAGATGAATAAGAAGGTGGTTCTTCACATAATATATAGTTCAGAAATACTTTTCTAGATAGTTATCCAGTGTAGCAAAGAAGGTGTACCATAACAATGCTGACTGTGAAGTGCCTTCTTGCACTGTTTGCATGCCACTTGTTAAAAAAGAACATCATGTTTGTATGCCATGCCTTGCAGCACTTGATGATCTACATCAGCATCCAGCTAAAATATGATTTCTTCTAACTAAAGTGCCATGCTATGGAGACAAAACACAGTCTTATTGCTGTTAAGAGGGGATGTATTACAGTGCTAGAGTGAGGAAATTAAATTCAGTGTTAATTTATTTCATGGAATCATAGAATGGCCTGGGTTGAAAAGGACCATAATGATCACCTAGTTTTAACCCCCCTGCCATGGGCAGGGTTGCCAACAACTAGACCAAATTTCAGGTGGTCATAATACTTCAGAAGACCAATTTTCAGGTTACACTCCTTTTTAAAGCTTTTTAAAAACAAGCTTTTATTTTGCCACACAGACAGTGAATATGAAGCAGTCTTACAAAGTGCAGAGTCTGCTGAGACAGAAAGAAAGAAACAGCCTTTCTTTTTCTAGTAGTCAGAAAAAAAAAAAAAAAAAAAAAAAAGTAATCATAACGTTGGTGCAGAAGATATCACTACAAGATACAACATTGGCACTGGGTTGGCTTAACAAAGAAAAAAAAAAGATCAAGGAGCCACTGCCTTCCTCTTTGCCCTTTTAATTGGACAGTGCAGTGCAACAGCCCAGGACATGTGACAGGCTCATTCTTGCATGGACGCAACTGCCTTTTCTATTTCCATATGAGAGTCAGAGGTGCTACCACTCAGTTTAGTCGCTTTCTACACAAGAGAGGTTAAGCGTTTAGCATAGAAACAGTGTCATCACTGGAAGAAGCTACTGACTACCCTGAATGCCCATGTGCCTGGTGTTTTACTTGTGATGCACAGGCAATCTTACCTTTCCACACTGCTTACATTTCCCCTCCTGCCTCCGTCTGTGTACCCAGTGATGTCGGACAAAGTTCTGCAAGAGAAGAACAAAGATAATGTTATAGGAAGGGATGGTAGGTTGCACTTCAAGGTACCATCAATGGGAAATTGGTTTATGGACATTAAAGGAAAGGACCATTTTTCCAAAGCAATCATTTATGGAGCAAAAGATAGTAGTTCCCCCTAGGATACCCCAGACACAACTGAAACCAGAGGATGAATAAGGAGAAGATGATATTCTTTATCCGTGTCACCATGTGGCCCAAACTACCCTTAAAAGGAAAGAAAAAAAAAAACAAAGAACCCAAACATTACATGACATGCAGATAACTGTCATATACATAAAGAGCACAGAAGGACCTGAGGACCAATGTTTTCAGGCACCAACATAGGGCCCCGTTATATTCTGCTCAGAAATACAGCTATATAAAGCAAAAATATCATAAGTCAATGCAGGAGGAAAGAAAGAGAAAAGGAAGTCATTTGGCCACTGAAGTAATTTGGACTCTTTCAGTTTGAACTACTTCCACTTTGGATGGCATGAAGATCTGGGCAAGAGAATAGAGGGTGTACAGGACTGCTCTACTCCTGTGTGGGCAAGGGGGTTAGAAGGAGCTTCATCTGCACCTTGCTTTAACACCATCCTGCACAGCAGAGCCCATGTTACTGGAAACTACCTGTGCTAAGAGAAGCTACAAAACGATGCTAACAAAGAAATAGGAGGCTTAAGGGGTAGTGCTTCAGGAAGTAATAGGAGGCTTAAGGGCAGCTCTGCTTAAGGGGTAGTGAAGCTGTATAGTGAGTGGCCCATAAACAAATGGAGTTTCTATTCCTCTCCCATTACTACCAAAAGTGAAAAAGAAAAACAAGCAACAGCAGCCATCAAGTGTTCTTCCACACTGCGATTACTTACATAAAAAGAGGTTCCATCATACTAGACTGGCAACCAAAATGAATACCACAGTTAGGAATTTTCCTCTTTAATTAAAAAATAAGTATCTGATGCATAAATTTCAGCCATCACCTGCATTTTTTTGGGGGGAGTTGGGGCTTTTTTTTGTTTGGTTTTTGTTTTGTTTTGTTTTTGTTTTTATTATTTTGGTTTATTGAGGGGGGGGGCTGATTGGTTTGTGGGTTTTTTTGAACAGGGTTCAGGAAGGGTGGTCAGTTTTGATTTTATTTTGTTTTGTCTTATGGGAGCAATGGCTTCTAACTTTGTGAGTAGCACGGATACATGTAGCACCTTCAAGGGAGCTGGATTTGTATAGTAGCTGAATGATGAAATACACAAGTTTTTGAATGTTTATTTTGCTAACAAAAAATCTTCTAACACTAAGGATGCTTCAAAATAAATGAAGGGAAAGTACAGCAGAAGCTCAGGGAATCAGACAGAGGACAAAATACTACTTCAAATGTTAGAAAGAAACAAAAGAAATGCTACCAAAGAATGGAAAGAAGAAGAAGAAGAAGCAACAGAATGGCTGAGTGAATGGGAAAAGATACAGCAGGAAGACAAAATGATTCTTGACAGTGCAAGAAATATAGTGTTTCAGATAGAATTCATTTTACATTTATTCTGAGGAGGAGAACTTGTCACACTGGGAACTAACGCACTCAGACTTTTCTGAATCTAAAAGCACTGGTGCAGTTCCACACCAGGTGAATCATTACATAAATCTAAAGGAATGCAACCACCATTTGTCCATTACTTACTTCTCTTGGAGATCTGGAGCTCCCTTCTCGGAAAGTTGGTTTGCAGCGAAAGTTAATCTGGCATTAAAATAAAGCTGTTAGAACTGAAAACGAGCTCAGAGTTTATTCCAACATGTTGATATAGGGCAAGCTTCCAAGGCATATATTGCCTATTAGAATATTTATTTCACTAGTTTAAGAAACTTACCTGGATGACAGAAAATCTCTTCATATGTCAATAATGATGTTCTTTCCTTGATCTCTACACAACCCTCATCATCATTGAAGCTACTGCTGCATGCTCAGTTAAACTATTTAAACCATCTCCCTCATGCCAAGGAGGAAACTGCTTCATCTGTTTGTTTTTATTTCTTAAGAATACACTTTGTAACCAAAGTAGACTTAAGCTGAGTTGTCAAAAGTTAATAGGAGCTAGAAATCTAATTCTGAGATCTTTTACAAACTCAGCTTTATGCCTTTATAAACAAAATCTGTGGAAAAATTGTCTACATTCTCAGAAAAAAACATAAATTATCATAAATTTCTACCTTTTCCTTACATCAGGCTGCTTGGGGAGCATAAGACTGCCTCATGCAGTGGAACTGCCTCCTTCAGATGGGAGAGGAAAGGCAGAAAGAGGACAACAGGAGCTTCCATGAAGAAAACATCTTTTTGAAAGTTGAAGAGAAAAAGCAATAAAAATCACATGAGAGTCTGATGAGAAAACCAAAATATTTTACTAGGGCCTGTAGTGACAGGACAAGGGGTAACGGTCTTTAAAACAGAAGAGGGCAGATTTAGATTAGACATTAGGCAGAAATTATTAACTATGTGTCGTGAGACACTGAAGAATGTAGCCCAAAGAAGCTGACAGTTCCGCCTCCGTGGAAATGTTCAAGATCAAGTTAGACAAAGCTTTGGGCAGTTTTATCTATCGGAAGATGCCAGGGATTGGAACTAGATGAACTGTAAGATCCCTTCCAACCCAAACCGTTCTCTGATTCTATGATCTTTTGAATAAAATCAGTAGAAATACAAGCAAGAGAATATATAAAGAAAATGGTATATTGAAGAAGAGAGAGTCAGAGGAAAAGGTTAAAAGATAAATGGAATGCACTAAATGAAATGGATTCAAGTTTAATTGACTAGCCTTCAAAGGGTAAAATCCTTAAGGATACTGCATTGTAATGCTTTTGTTATGAAAATAGAAGGATCAAGTTTCCCCAATTTTGAATACAATTCTTTACTTCCTATAGAAATGAGGGTTTTACCTCATTCAATCATGGCCTTCAAAATAATAGTCCAAGTGAGGAAAAGAAAAAGTGAATGAAATATTTATTACTTAAAAAGAAATCAAAACCATAGCATTATCTTCTTCCACTGCTCTTCAGGTGGAATTGCAATTCATCATTCCACTTCTGAGTCCTAGGAAGTTGGAAAGATTTCCAGCTTACATTTAGTTTACTTACAACTTACACCTATGCAGAGAGGGCCAAACAGAAGACCTATGTACCAGTTTTAAGCACCACCAGGCTTAAGACACACATGGACTATATAATAAATCTCTGCCAAGAGGTGAACTTCACGCTCTCTAGAATGGCATAAACAAGTTCAACAGAATGGGTTGTATCTAAGTGCTACTACTGGCAATGCCACCAGCTTACTGGGCTATGGAGAGCCAGCAATGCTGCTGATGAAGGAACTCATGAAAAATTCACTGGTAACAGTTTGAGCTGAAAGCATGTGCTAATGCTAATTTCACTGTGGGTAAAAGCATCGGGGGTGGAAATGGTACCTTTCCAACTTGGTATTATGGCAATCACTGCGGCATTTGTCAACACAAGCCCAAATACTGGGAAATGAAAAACTCTTTCCAAAGGGTTGCTGTTATAAATTTGTTTTGCATCAACTTCTTTTATGGAGAACAACATTGCAAAACATATAGAGTGAAAATGAAGCTCTAATGAAATCAGTGGGGATATTCCCACTCGTTTCTTTACACATATCCCACCAAGAATGAAAAAGCAGAGGTGGAGAATTCCTTTTACACATTCCCAGTTAGTTAGGTGCAATGAGTAAGAATCGCTGATGGGATAGCTGAACTCTGTGATCAGTATTCTGTAGGCACTTGGAGGCAAAGAGGTCTCCTTGAAGTGACAAACAGGACAGATGCTCATAGAAATAATGGCACCATAAAGGAAAAGTTTGATGCTTTCTATTTCAAAAAATTAACTTTGTTTCTGATGTTTTGAGGAGAAAATAAAATTGTCTAGTAAATACAGTGGAAAACATTCATCGTAGCATTTTATGCTGCATTGGTCATAATACATATAGCTGTCATAATATGAATTATTCTGGGCTTAGCTAAGGAATTTTGAAAGGCCAATTTTGTGCGTGACAGGGTACTGCATTTTCAAGCTTCAATTTCCACTCTAGAAGTAGAGGGAAATTATTTTTTAATCATTAAAATTGTGAAAGCATTCAATGGTCTTTTGTTGTTTGATTGCTTCTCCTAATGGTTCACAGTTACAAGAAATCTATTTGAACAGAGAAGCTGAAAATTTAAGGCAACATTTTAGCAAATATATTGTCAAAACAGCTACAAAAACCTAATTTGGCATATGGTATTTTTCAGACTGAAAGCTCAGCTTGAGAATAGATCAATGCTGTACCCATCAGTCTCCAGAAGATGGCAATATCTTACCTTCTCTAACTGCTCCATGCACGCATTATGGACCACGATCTTGCAGGCAGCACACTTCCTCCGCAGAGCAGATTTCTGAAAGAGGAAAGGGATAAGCGTGTGGATAGAGGTACACTGTTCTTCACAGGAAGAATGCTAGCTGTGAAACAGGAGATATTTCTCTCTTTATTGAAAGTATAATTTTCCTCTTGGTGTTCTCCTCTTGGTGTATTGAAAAAAATAGTCTGAAGCTAAATGCTGGACTTTGTGAAAGACAGAAGTCTGTGGTACTCCAGCTTGTGAGCTAGAAGCTAGAGTCTCTGGTAACAGATCATCACTCTAAAAGGAAGAATTCTGCAAAGATGGTGAGCAGAGCTAGTAAAGAAAAAACCACACATGCAAATCAGAGGACTCAGTCCAATCAGGAGGAGTATGTCATTTCATGATCATTGTACAGTATTGATTTTGATGGGCACAATCATTCTTACAGGAAAAAAAGTGAGTCACATAGCAGCGAATGATAACCTTCTCACTGAATGTTGTGAGATGTTACAGCAGGGACAAAATTCTCAACCTAATTATGCTGGTTAGTTTTATTAATTTCACTAGGGCTTTTAAAACAATTTCCACTGAATCTCCTGGGCCAGAGCATATCAAAGACAAGAGAACTCATGCAGGAGGGAGAGAGTACACTAACTTTTTGTTGTTTTTCCTTTTTTTCTTTCCTTTTTTTATTTTTTTATTTTTTTTATTTTTGTTCCTTCTGGTGTATATTAAATTTAATAAACTAGATGAAATAAATTTTAACAGAGGTTTAACTTACAGAGCTGCACATGAGGGACACAAACATTACGAGCACACAAGTCGAGGCTGAGTTAAGATTTCTGCATTAATTTTACTCAAGCTCATTTAAATTTCTAATAAATTATTTCATTAGAATTCTCAATATGTTGAAAATGAACTCAAGAAGAAGAAGGGAAGAAGAACACCATTAAGGCTTACGCTATAATCACTAATTTTACTGAGTCTCATAACTACAAAAATACTCCCTCACTGTGTGTTTGTATGTGGAGTTTGGTCCTCATGTTTCACCACAAGAACCATGACACTGTGAAACTCTCCAAAATTTCATTTGTTTTGTGATTTGTTAGCGTTTCAGTTTCCACATTCATCACAAAGAGCAAGGCGATATAAATAAATCAATTCCTCAGATGAAAAGCTGCAAATATCAAAAGCAGATAATGCCTTACAAGCAGCTGCTTTTTGAATATCTTAAATTGAATATGTTCCTGGTGGTGCTGGAAGTAGTTACAGGAATTCTTTTTTACATTGAGAGAATAGTAACAATTCAAAATAAGAAAATAAAAAAAACAGGTAATCTTTTCCATTGCTCCTAGATTCTTTGATTTATCATGAAATTTCAGCTCCATATTCCAAAGAATACAAAGTCCTGCAATTGCAACTCAGCTAATTTTTGCCACTTCTCCATTCCAAACATTTGATCTTATACAGTCTAAATGTAAAAGAGGTAAGCCAAAAGAAGACCCAAATGGGCTTGAACGATGTAATGGTCTTCAAAAAATTCAAACTGGGAATACATTAGTTTAATATGACCTTTCAAAAAGCTGACCACAGCTGATGTCAACTACATTTTCATTTCCATCTCAAGATCTTAAGGTAACAAAAGCTCTTTATACTGTAATATGTTACAAAAGCAATCATGTCAAGCAAAAGAAAGGCAAATAAAAACTGAGCAATTATAAACTCCATTGCATCCTTAGTATGACTCAGTATCTCAAGGCCCAATGGCTGAAACTTTTGCCATCACATAAAACGTGCATGACCATTTCCAAATAAAAACACAAATGAATGAGTATAATTCACCAGCTATTACAGACAGTGTTTCCACCTTCTAAAGGCGCTCCTCTAAAAAGCCAAGGCACAGCCTTGCAGTCACATGCAACACATTATTAAATTTCCATGCCATTTTCAATGAGCTAAATCACTAGGAAATGTTTACTCATTCTATTAAGAACATAAGAACAGTCATATTGGGTAGGTCTACTCAGCCACAAATCCCATCTCCTGATTTTTCCAAAGCCCACTGCCTCACAACCAATATAACTGTAGGACAAACTCATGACACTTGTCTTGAATATTGCCCCACAGTCACTACTGTGTTACAACTGGGGCTTTCCTTCATAGTCTTTGTAAGCAGATATGTTCTTTCCAGATTTAGCCTTTCTGTTATACATTATAAAGAAACTGGTGTGCTTGAGAAGTCATAGGAAGTTGTTATTAAATTGGAGCTACATAGAGCACTATAGATTTGGATCAAACAAAGTCCTACTAATGTTGGAAGTATCAAAATACCTCAATTCGAATCAAATTACTTGATCTGCTGCATTTTTAGAGGATGGGGGATGGTAGCAATCAAAGCAAAAATCAGAGAGAAGCAGACTCTAAAGCACCACAGGGAAGGACTCTCCTCACATTTTGCAGCCCAAGAGCCAGTATGCTCACCTGGGCGTTGAATCAAAGCAATGGTTTGAACACAGGATCCCTACTCTGTAATAAACGTTCTCATCTTAACCAGGAAAGACAATTTTTTTTCTTTGCATTTATTCTGCTGAAGTGGTTTTACTTTAATACTAGGTAAGTGAAGATTTAGTGAAGAAGGCAGGAAATGTAACAGTGACTCCACAGCTCATTAACAGAGGACCATGAGCTACAGATCAACCCAATGAAACATTTTAACATGCAGCAGAAAATCTTCATTAGGACAATGCAAACCTTGAATATTCTGTTCCTTACTGGTGAGTGCACTCAAGAGTTCAGAAAATCCAGTTCAAATCCTTGCAGTGAGAAAAATCACAAAAATGTGATCTGAACCCTACCCAGGCAACCCAGCTAGTGTATATAGGAGGGTTGCTCCAAAAGTACTGCCTCCTCTTTTATGATGTTGGCCCATGACATCAGAGGTAGATGGTGGTGGTTTGGCAGTAGAGGACAAACCTTCCTGACAATATTCTGTTACATGTTGTTGTCATGTAACAGAAGGCAGCAGAGGGGCAGTCTGACAAAATGGCGTCTGATATGGAAGTGCATATGAAGCAAAGGCTTGTCACTGAGTTCCTCCATGAGGTAAAAAATGATGGCTATTGACATTCATTGATGCTTGCTGAATGTTTATGGAGACCAAACAGTGGATGTGAGCACAGTGAGGTGGTGGGTGCTGCATTTCAGCAGTGGTGACACTGACATGAAACACAAGGCACATTTGGGACAGCCTTGCACAGTGGACATGCAGGCTCTTGTTCACTGCTGAGAACGTGCACAGCTAATGGCAGCATCTATGTTGAAAAATAGTGATTTGTAGATGAGGATTTGCTTTATCAAATAGTGTCATTGTGCTTTTCATAGCTGTTGTAGTTTTCATGGAAACAAATAGGAGGCATTACTTTCAGAGTGATCTCCATATAAATGAAATAAGCTAGTTTGAATATTTCTGAAATAGCTCAGTAACTTAATTCTCTCCTTTCCATATTAATCAAAACTATTCATTAAGCCTAACCTCGTTATGTAAATATTCTGGGTCATTCAAAATTGTTTGAGGCTTTCTTTTTTTTTCCCAAGATATTTAGCCCACAGTCTTTTGTCCCTTTTGTATTCATTCTCTCAGAACACTTGCATCAACAGCAGCAAGCAATTCAAACTGCCAGGCTTCTGAGCAGAGTAACAAACTGAAGTCAGGCTCATTATAACAGAAACATAGAAGGGAATCTGAAAATAACTCACTGAGAATTTCACTTGGCAGCTTTCCTCCCCCAGGTAACAGAGATCCCCAGAAACGTTTGTCTCCAACCACAGATGCTCTCCATTAACAGCATTTTCCTAAGAAAAGATTGTTAAACTGGTTTGTAAAATTCAGAGATGAGAATACATAGAAAAATAAGTTATACTTGATTTTCATCATAAATTTAAAAAATAAATAATAAATACACAAAGGCACTTCTTATCAAGTTAGATGATCACCTTTGTTTAAAGGATGCTGATCATGCAAGGAATTATATGTCCACCCAGAAAAAGTTTGCCCATGTTCTTCCCATAATGCTTAGTTTAATGCTAAATTTCATAAATGTGCAATGTATACAGAATTGTAAAGAAAGGAAAAAATCAACAGATGAAACAAAACTGTAACTACTAAAATTTCAATTGCAGAAGTTCCCAGAATTTGGGAACTGTGACCAAAAGTGCAAAATAACACAGCTTTAGAATAACAGCAGAGTTTAGACAAAGAAGAATATTTAAGATGTCTGGATCAGCACCATATGCTTATATATTATGCTATTATTCTATGTATACTATGCTATATACTTATGAAAACATCCAGAAAACATAATCCAGAAGAGACTAGACTTTAAGTTTTTACCTGAATGTATGCTATATTCAGAAAAGTAATATTTTCAAAATCTATCAAGCATACAGAAAGGAATGATTAGCAGGGTGATATCTGATTTTATTTCAACACTCTTCTTATTCAACCAAATAGATCTCACAGTTCTTTACCAATTCTTGGCCTGAGGAAATTTGGTTGTAAAATGACTATAGGTTTCACTCTACTGTAATGCTGGATCAAGTGAAAAGATCACGTTTACTGTACATTATTTGAACAAAGTGAATAAGCAGGTTTCTGCTCAGCCAGAATTAGACCATGATGGAAAACACTTTGACAGTCTCTGACATTTGGATCCCACACTGCAGAAGTCACAAATGATGACGCTTACCAAACAGATGGCGTCCGACAGCAGGATGCTCTGAAATAGCCATCTTAGATAAAATAATTTATTCAAAATTCTACTGACGGTTTCAAAGTGATGAAATGAGAAAATTTTTCTTGCCATGTGGATCTCTTAAGTAACGTAGAGAATCCGAAGCAGCAAAATCCTTTGTCTTCTAGAGAACAAGTGCGTCCACAGAAGCCAAACTGTTAAATCTGCACATGCTGCCTAACACAGATAACGTGCTCACTTCAAATAAACCAGAAGGAGAAGAACAATATGCATTTTTTCAAGGTCTGCTTGTCCAGTGGCGTGACTTCATCAGAAATCTTGCCACAAACGTCATGTTCAGTATTACTTCTCAATACAAGGGGCTGGATTAGTGCAAGGCTTGCAGACCAGTCTACTGCCATTACAATATCTTAATTTAGTGGTACACTGTTCTATACCTCCATTACTTCTTATCCTTTCATCTGTCTAAACTGTAGACTCTGTAGGACAGACATTCCTGAACTGCACAGTTCAGAGCATGGCAGTTTAAAGCTGAGACTTCTCAGTGCTTTCATAATGCAAAATAGCTCCTAACGACTCAAACTCACTAAGGCTTAAAGCCTTACCCAGATGGCAAATTACTGAGACTGGAAATTCTTCCCCTCAAGTTTGTTCTTATATTAAAGCAGTTTTCTCTGGCAAGAACTTTATCACTCTTGCAGCACTTCATGGAAGCCTAGTCACATCATGCTAATAAAATTACTATGCCCACAGTATTGTTCAAAATATTAAATTCCTGTCTAGTTTACAGAGAGCCAGACAAAACAAGAGGACCAAAGCAAGAGGATATGAATTCAGTGTTTGAGCTGCGCACATTCTCTGTCTGAAGAAATAACACAAACTCATAACCCAGTGCTGAATTTTACGGATTATAAAAGATGGTTAGTAAAGTTCAACTTGGGAAGCTATGAAAGCATACAGCTCCTGGGACACAACTTTTAATCAGGAATCAAAATTCCATTTTAAAAAATAGATTAAATTCCCCTTCAAAAAGACTGCACACATATAACTTGCCATCTAGGAATTCTAAAGTGGCCTATTTTCATAACCTAGTTTAGACTGAGTTTGTTCTCCACTGTTCCATGTTCTATCATAGATCCAACCTTTATTTTCCATCACAGTAAAAAAAAAAAAAAAAAAAATAGTCTACAGGGATGACCTTTCTAGTTCATGCTGTGAGAGAGTTCAGGCAAGACTAGATAATAAAAATGTAAATAAACTGATCTGGTAGGAGTGGCACAACTCCAGATATCCAGTGCCACAGGCAATTTTACAACACTGTGAGAAAATTAACCATCTAAATTCCAGCAAAATAGCATTTGAAAAATCCTCTTTCAACCTGAATTACAGCACAAAGCTGAGATTCCCCAAGAAGTAATACCCTACCCCAAAAAACTTTTGCTGTAAATTACCTTGTCCCAACAAGATCAAAAAGACTTATTTGAACTTCACTGTTATGAATTTTACAGGGCAGTGTCACTTATATGATCAGACATTTTGCTACTGCTAATGAAAATCAAACAGTATAGTCAAAGGAAGACACTTTGACCTTTTTCAAGTTCAATTTTTCATTGACTTATAATAGGAGGATATGATAACATTCAATACATTTATATGGAGCAGTTTGCCTTCAGCAAACTGGTATTTCCAATAAAAAGATTTACAGGCAGTATTCCACAATGTGCTGGGCAAAAGGGTACTCCACCTGCCAGCACACAGCTGACAGGGGTCACTGGGACCACCTCTAGTATGAGCTCTTGTTTAACACAGAACTCAAACACATTGAAGTCTACATCAACATCTGTGGACTCTGATGGAGACTTTTCCACAACAGACTTGAGTTCAAGAACCTTCTCATAAACAATTTGCAAGCTTAGCATATTTTGTATTTGATGTCCTTATGGCAGGTTTAGAAGCAAATGAGAGCTAAAGTGGCAGCCGTCCTCTTTTTGTCCCCGACCCCTCAAACTCCAGTCTCGCACTCATGCTGCTTCCCCAATGTCAGATCTGGTGGCTGTGAAGCTATACAAAAATCAGTTCAACTGCTGGGAAGAAAAGAAAAAAAAAAGAAGAAAAAAAATAAAAAAAATTACCAAGAGTAGTCAGATAAAGTGACTCACCCCATGAGCACAGAGCCCACAAGGGCTGGATCAGACACAAGGAGCGATAGGTGAATGGTGGGTAACAAAGGGCCAGTGTGTTTCGTACCAATTCACTATTAGAAGAGCTCAACTGATATTGCAATGCAAAAAAAAAGGGTCCAGGAGGCTCCTGGAATCCATTGATGATAACTTTCTGGTTCAGGTATTGGACAGACTGACCAGAGGTAAAGCATTGCTGAACATGCTGCTCACCAATGCAAAGGAGATAATTAAAGGTATTAAGGTTGGAGGCAGCTTGGGCTGCAGTGACCATGCTCTGGTTGAGTTTGTGATCTCAAGGAATGTGAGCCTGGCAAAGAGTGGCGTCAGGACCCTAAACTTCAGAAGACTGAACTTTAAGCTGTTCAAGGAATTGTTGGCCAAGATCTCCTGGAATGCTGTCCTTAAAGACAAAGACAGTGAGGAAAGCTGGCTACTCTTCAAGAATGCCTTTCTGGGACCACAAGAGCTCTCCATCCCTCTGAATAAGAAAGCAGGCAGCAGAGGCAGGAAACAGGCATGGCTCAGCAAGGACCTGCTGGGCAAACTAAGGGTAAAGAAAGGAGCATACACATTCTGGGCACAGGGGCTTGTCACCTGGGAAGAATGCAGGGATGCTATTCAGACTTGCAGATGTGGGATTAGGAAAGCCAAGGCACAGGCAGAACTGAACTTGGGGAGGGATGTGAAAAATAGTAGGAAGACATTCTACAGGTACACTGGCCAGAAGAGACAGGCCAAAGCGAGTGTACATCCTTTGGTAAATGTAAAAGGAGAACTTGCCTCAATGGATGAAGAGAAGGCTGAGGTACTGAATGAGTTCTTTGCCTCGGTCTTCACTGGCAGCCAGGATTCTAATAACATCCCTGAGCCCTGCATCCCTAAACCTCTAGGTAGGCTCACCTAAAGGGAGCCTACAAACAGGAGGGGAATCAACTCTTTGAAAGGATAGATAACTACAGGACAAGGGGAAATGGTTTTAAGTTGAGGGAGGGGAGATTTAGGTTGGATGTCAGAGGGAAGTCCTTTACAATGAGAGTGATGAGGTGCAGGAACAGGCTGCCCAGAGAGGTTGTGGATGCCCCATCCCTGGAGGTGTTCATTGCCAGGTTGAATGGGGCCCTGGGCAGACTGGTCTAGTATTAAATGGGGAGGTTGGTGACCTTGCATGTTGTGGGAGGGTTGGAGATTCATGGTCTTTGAGGTCCCTAACAACCCACGTCACTCTGTGATTCTGTGTGTGATTCTGTGAACTGTACTGGTACTGTCCATTGTCTTGGATAAAACAGGAGTGACCATGGCCTAATATTTTTCAGTCTGGGGAACTGGGAACACTGAATTCTTGCCTGGCTTTCCAGACCTTGCAAGTGAGCACTCAATGCCCTGTGACAAGGAAGAGCTCTGCTCACCAAAGCAGAGCAGCAGTGCTCTCCTGGCAGATGCAGCCAGTATGGTCTTCCAGAGAATTGTTCCTGATCCGCCACCACCATACTAACAGACAAAAATGACTTCTGTATGACATGCATTCCTTGAATATGAAACAAAGAATACACAATTCCCTCTCCTCCCCATCCCCACACCGAAATGAAAGAGAAATGGGAAATAACAAATGGGAGTTTGGGAACAGTGAAACTACACGTGCATGTGCTTGATCATATCTTTCTGTGCACATTTCACTAAATCAACCTAATTTCATTTTTTAAGTGCCCAAGCATGGTTAGTTGACAGACCAAGCATTACCATTTTTCAAGTAACTCCACATCTCACTGTTCTTCAAGCTGCAGTCAGTACAGTTTAAAGGCGATGCACAGAACATAATTTAATTTACCATGTTAAAAAGCCATGGACATTCAGCCAAACAAATAAGCCAGTTCTCCCAAATTTTAAGTTTTAAGGAACTGTAACACCACTTGTAATAGGA